GAGTGTGGGGTGAAGAGTGTGGAGCGTGTAGAGTGTAAAATGCGGAGTGCAAAGTTTAAAGTGTGGAGTCCAAAGTGTAAATTGTGGAGTGTAGAGTGTAAAGTGTAGAGTGTGAAGGGGGAGTGGAAAGTGCAAAGTGTAAAGTGTAGAGTGTATCTTCTGGCATATCTTCTGGTATTCTATTTGGCCGTTGAGGTCCAGCAGTGCACACTGAGCTGGGAAGGTCCCAGGTTGAGGCCCAGCGGTGCACACTGAGCTGGTTTGGCCCCAGGTTGAGGTCCAGCGGTGCACACTGAGCTGGGAAGGTCCCAGGTTGAGGTCCAGCGGTGCACACTGAGCTGGTTTGGCCCCAGGTTGAGGTCCAGCGGTGCACACTGAGCTGCGAAGTTGGCAAAGAGCTCGGCGAAGAGTTGGCAAGGCGGAAGTTGAGGTGGAAGTTGATGCAGACATGATCGAGGAGAAACTGGAGGAGGAGGCAGAGGAGGAGGAGAAGGCGGAGGACGAGGAGGAGGAGGAGGACGAGGACGAGGAGGACAGCTAGCCGAGGAGAACAACTCTGATAAAATCATATAAAATCTAACAACCCTCACCTGGCAGGTGGGGAAAAATGAAATTTTCTGTGAATGCGTCCATAATGTTCATCTTCTAAAAAGAAGCTGGCAAGAGGCGAAAAAGAAATAAACCAATTATCAGTATTACTCAAATTTGTTTGCTGTCGTTTTGCTTTTGGGTTCTCAGGCCCCCCCTTGTTTCTTGAATTGGCGGACCTCGTTTTATGTCCCAGCTAAAATAGCGCCGTTTTCTTTCTCAACCCGCGGTGCCATCTTACGGGTATTTTGGTTTTTGAGTTGAACCATCTACTTTGACATCGGTGTAAATGAAACCTTAAAATAACACCGAAAGAAAACTGTAAAGGAACCCGAAATGAAACCCTAAAGAAACCTTAAGAAAACCCTACAGAAACCCTAAAACCTAAAAAAACCCTAATCAAACTTTAAAACCTAAAGAAACCTTAGATGAAACCCTCAAAAAAAATTAATTAAATTTTAAAGAAACCTTAAAGAGACCCTAAATGACATTCCAGAGAAACCAAAAACGACACCCTAAAGAAACCCTAAATGAAACCCTAAAGAAACCCTGAATCAAACGCTAAAGAAACCCTAAATAAAATTTTCATAATGAAACCCTAAACCCTCAAGAACCCTAGAAGAAACCCTACAGAATTTTTGAAACCACGGAAAGACCATTGAAGAGGATCAAGAAAGCGATGAAAACCATCCAGACATCGTTGAAAACCCATGGGAAAATGGGTGAAACTAAAATGTTGCAATTATCGGGCAAATTTACGATTTATTTACCCAAGTTTGCGACTTCAGTTCCGAAATGCTGCAAATAGCATGCAAAATGAGAGATGTTAGTTCAAAAACGCAGGAAATAGCACGCAAATCAGAGAGATTTTGGTTCCAAAAGGCAGCAAATAGCACGCAAATCGGAGATTTTAGCCCCAAAATGTAGCAAATAGCAAGGAAAACTGCCCCAGACTGAAAAAACACATAAAAAAATCATCGCCCCTTAAATTCTATGTATGTAGTTCTGCAAGGAATTGAGTCTCTTACATGTATAAGGGTATATATTACATACATCATTCCCTTTGGGGAGTAGCAACCCTGGATGTCTGAAGTTCCTGAACTGGAAAATAAAGAAAAAAAACTGGTCCCCCGAAATGATCAATTTATTTTGACTTTGTATTGAAAAAAATGGTTTTTCAAACTCACCTAAGGGTACGTACCCCCACGACTGGTCCCGTAGAAAAATGATAAATTCTATTTGGGAATGAAAACCAATGGAATTAGGTGGTGTTCCTCGGATGAATTTTCCCTTGGGACTTCTATTCTATGTATGTAGTTCTGCAAAGAAGTGAGTCTCTTACATGTTTTAGGGTGTGTATGACAACGGGGGGATGCATAAAAACAAAATTCTAAACAGAAATGTTGGGAGTGTTCGCATAAAAAATTGTATAACAAACTGTTAGGAGTGTTCCCATGAAAGTTGGTTGGGTCAGCAAATACGGTACATCAATGATTCAATGTTCGTGATTTCTTTTGTTCTGGGGTTGGCGGCAGGGACGGGGAGCCCTTAAGGACATGAGGTGTAAATTTGATGTAAATTTGCATCAAAGTTGCACTGTTTGAGGTGTAAGTTTACATCAAATTTACACTAACACTAAACTTACACATCATAAGTATAGATATAAATTTACATCAAACTTACATGTCAACACTGTAAATTTATATCAAACTTACACGCAAAAGTGTAAGCTTATACTTGTAAATGTAAGTTTGGTGTAAGCTGACACCTCAAACATGTAAGTGTTCATCAAATTTACACTTGTGCATGTAAGTTTACATCAAAGTTACACTCCTGATAAGTAAATTTACTGTAGGTTTGATGTAAACTCACACCTCAAAACTGTAAGTTTGATAAACACTCACACCTCATGTCCTTAAACATCACTGAAAATCAGAATGTGTTCACAGCAAAATGTTTTTTTTCACGGAAAATAGTGTTTTTAAACACAAAAGATGATGATTCTCAACTGCCCAATTTAGATGTATAGCTATGGAGGTAGCCTTGCTGGGCCTCCTCAAAGTTGTGAAAGGCACTCAGCGCCAATGACGTAGCCAAATGCAGCCTTGCTATAGTGTACCCAGTATTATAAACCTTATATATGGAAAAGATCCAATCCCTTGCAGAACTACATACATAGAATATAGGTCCCCAGTGAAAATATTCATCCATTTTTTCAGGAACACCGCCTAATTCCATTGGTTTTCATTTTTTTTCATTGCAAAATAGCTTCTTTTTAATAGTCCTTCGACACCGGTCGTGGGGGGCACCCTTCGGTGAGCTTGAACAATTTTGTGAGGGATTCTATTGTGTTCTGGTGGATTTTAGTGGGCTGAAAAAAATTGAAAAATATCAATTTATGACCATTTATGCTGCAGCACGGGTTATATTTTGATAATTCAAAAGATTTTAGTGGGGTGAAAATTAAAAAATGATCATTTATGTCCATTTAGGCCGCAGCACGGATGATATTTTGATAATTCAAAGGATTTTGGCGTGGTGAAAATTTGAAAACTGTCCATTTATGTCCATTTATGCTGCAGTATGAGTGCTATTTTGATAATCCAAAGGATTTTAGTGAGATGACAATTTGAACATTGTCCATTTATGTCCATTTATGCTGCAGTACGGGTGAAAATTTGATAATTCAAAAAAAAACAAAAAAAAACATCTTCCAGAATTAAACATATTCTATGTACACTCCTGGGATATTCTATGTACACCGTTTTTTTTTCAATTCTGGAAGATGCCCCAAAACCTATTTTTCAAAATTCTGTATTCTATGTTCTCGTACTTCCTTTTATATATTAGATGTATATTAGATGTATAAAGGTGTTAAACATGTATAATATACATGTATCTAGATGCACAACGATGCATATAGATGTATATAGTAGTTATATGTAGTATTATGCAACTATAAAATGACAATAATGTCATATCATCCTTACCACAAAGTACGATTATCATTTTATAACAGGCAGGCCGCCCAGGGTTATAAAAGAAGTACAGGCCTGATGTCAAACATTGTCAAACATTATCATGCATTGTCTTTCTATACCAAACCTACTCATGCAAAAAACATCTGAAACATCTTGGTGCAAATTTGTATAAAATAGGTTAAAAAGCGAGGAAAATTGTATACAATATTATACAATTGTATACACATATAATAGCATATTCATATAATGACAATTAACAACATATCTAAATTATTCTAAATTGTTCAAAAGTGTTCAAAATGCAAAGCACGTCAAAATTATTGAACATAATAACAAAACAATACAAAAACATAAAGTGGTAAGAGATGGTAAGAGAACATAACGCAATGTTTGCCCATGGTCGCGCGTTATGTCGTAGTTTATATTCCAATATATTCCAATATATTGCAACATATTGCAACAGTTTCCAATATAATATATAATATAAGAGTATATAGGTGTGCACAATGATGCATCTAGATGTATAAAGTAGTCATATGTGGTATATTGTAGTATTATGAAATTATAAAATTACAATAATTTATATTTAGCATTTTTACCACACAATTATTATGATTTTATAACAGGCAGGCCGCCCAGGGTTATAAAAGACAGCATGACTTGCATTTGGCATTTCATAAGGCCCAAACTGGTGCAGGTAGAAAGTTGTTTTGGTTTCTTATATTATGCCTATTGTTGTAGCAGTGACCTGAACTGTGGTTTGCCATTTTATAATGTTTCAAAAGCTTTGCAAGATTCATGTTTGTTTTTATTGAATATCCATTATATAAGGTACACTTACTTTGCAAATCTTTGCAATATAAACAATTTCTTTTGATAATTACAGGTTTTACCAGCACAAACTGAGAAAAACATACCCGGAGAATCCCGGAGAAATCAGGTTTGCACAGTTTTGGTTCTTATAGAATGCCCTGGAGGTGCCTTATAGAATGACAGTTTGTCACTTTCAGTATAAATCTCTGATATTCTCTGATAATTTGTGAAATTTCCACTCCCACCTTATAAAATGTATATCGGGTAATCACCAAAAAAGTAAATTGTCTGGGCCACGATCTATAAGCCGTTTTTTTGGACTCTGGTCTATCATATTATAAGAATGCGTTTTTTCTTATAAAATGCTAATTGGAGTTCCCTATTTTCCGACTCCTGAATTATATGCATTCTATAAGGAATTTTTGCCGTGGAACTAGCATTTCATAAGGAATTTCTTATAAAATGGCGCCACCCGGGTTCAACTTAATATTATAAGGGGGATGTCGATCTTATAGATTGGGGCATGTTCCACTTCATTTGTTTTCATCCAGGGTTCGACAGAACTGCTTTTGTGCTTAAACATCCTTCGCCAGCTCCCACAGCCAGCATTCGAATCAGGATTATTGGGCAGACACAGTTCGTCCTGCTGATGACCCCATCCAATGATAGCTGGAAGGTTCCCGCGGAAGCGGGCGCTTTTTGTGTCAGAATTTCATGGGTCAATATTTACGGATATTTTTCAGACCCCAAACCACAGCTTCACTGGTCCACGTTTTGGATCATAAACCATAAATAATCATTTTATTTTGGGGCACGCAAATTTGAGTAATACCCATGTAACTGTTGAACTACTGTACGTGTTAAAGTAAGACCTCGCCTCACGCCTCAAATGAGTTTTTCTCAATGTGGATGTGTGCATTCATAGGTTCGCATGACTGACTCCCAGACGAAGGAACTTGCTGTAGTACTTCAGCAAGACTTCGATGATACCAAAACACGTTGGGAAGACTTCCAAGCTGTTTTCTCCATGTAAGAAGCAATGCATCTTTAGTCACAGGATGGGCAGGTTTTTTTCCTACTTTGGTTTGTCTTGAAGAAGGATTTCTCAAATTGTTGGTCGCTTAACATTGTAATCTTGCAGGTAGCATTTCCCTATGAAACCATGTTATCGTCTCTAAACTAGTTGTTAAACCGTGTTAAACCTTCTTTTTGGTCGGTAAGGTTGAAACTCAAATTTTGTTTCTATACTTCCGAAATTAGATGTTTGCAGTGCCATTTCGCCATTCCCTTTCCCAGGTCTATCGGCTCTTTAAGGAATGGACGCTTGACCATGCACCAGGGGACAGCCCGGGTGACACCGGGGTCGACTCATACAGATCAGTTTTTTTTTGATCCTATAAATGCCATCTACCCTCTGGTAAACTGTCCCATAACGAACTGGAAAGATCCACCATTTTCAATGGGGATTCACTATTTCGACTCGGCCATTTTCAATAGCTATTTCGACAAATTACCAGAGGGTAAATGCCATGGCTATTCGAAGAATGCTGAAAGATGGAGGGAAACATCTCCCCAGGTGACCAGTTGACGAACAATCCGAAACCTTCCCAGAGTGGTGCAGACGCCGCGGTTCCGCCGCGGACCACGCCTCGGGTCCACCCTCTCAGGACGTGTTGTCAGCTGCCGGTGCCGTCGCAAGTCATCAAGAGCGACACCATCCGAAAGCGGCAGTCCACGGGGATGATCCTGGCGCGGATCGTCCAACAGATGCTGGGATCCTGCTGGGATATCCCAATAGATATTAATATTGATGGGATAATAAATATACGTGCCTATTATTGATGAGATAATATATATATATATAATTATTATTTATATATCTATAATTAATTAATAGATATATTTATGTATATTATCCCATATATAGATATGAATGATTAATGGTATATTCATGGGTTTTTTCTGGACATTTTCATAGATAGGACTTGAATATAATATAATATAATCAAGGATCTATAATCTGATATCTGGGTGGGGATGGTATTTGGTATATGAATAGGATGTTCCTGGGACGTAACAATAGTTGGGATCTTAAATGATCTTAATTCAGGGGATATTACTGGGATATTCCCGGGAAATAATATATGATATAATTTGATATAATAGTATAAAATCATATCTGGACCTGTATAAAATCAACAATCTGACATATTTGGGTGGCAACTGAAGATGGGATATGTTTTTTCCCCCATTTTTAATGACCATTTTGGCCATTTAAATTTGACAGAGATGATAGACCCATGGCTTCACCATCATGTCAGACTCAGGATGAACGCCAAATCTTGGGGGCCTTTGTGGCACATTTTGCCGGAGGAAAAGGAGACTCCTGTCTTTGAAAAATTCTATCGGCATCCTGTGATGATGTTGGGAATCAACATCTATCAAACGCCCCTCGGAAGAAGATTGATACGTGAAGTTTACCACTGGCAACCATACAGCCATGAAAATGATCAGTTTAAATACGTTTTCTCCTCTCTCTCTCTCTCTGTAAAATGTGAATATGGATTTACAGATATAAATATATGATATTAATATCAATATCAGTAATTAGGTAATGTGTACAGCAGCTTGCATGGGATGTGTTTATATATACATATATATATATATATATACACCAGTATTAGCAGAATCATTTTAACTCTGGAACTACCGACCATGATGACTACTGACGGTGATTTTCAGCAAACCATGGCAAAATCCATTGTTGTTTTGCCTAAATCATCCGTGGTGGTCCTATTTTCAATCAATGTGGGTTCAATGAATTTGTTCCTTTCCATTGGGGGATTACCAAACACATTGTCAATTGCATTCGCGTGTAGTATCCTGTTCTCATGCCGGTTGTCACATTTGGGGTAGTACTTGCTCAAACTATCTTATCTTCCACAGAAACCCTTGGAACAAAAAACCTGAGTGATGCTGAATTTCCTTGAACTTTTCTATGTTTGTTGCTTCATCCATCTTTTTTTGGAGTTGACCATGGCTGACGCTTCAACGGCTTCAACGGACCTTCAGCCCGGTTCAGCCAACGGCAGGTCCGGTGGGCATCGCTGGATGGCTCTTGTGGCCTCGTTGAACAAGGCGTGCTCGCAGTTTTACTCCGGGGCCAAAGACTCTGGGCCCATGGATTGGACGATTGGACCCCCATTGGATCACCATTTTGATGGATGGTAAATGATGGTAAAACACCATGCATAAAAATATGGGTGGTTGATGACATGGCTAAAAACTAACATGAAAGACACATCAATATGATATTGGTTGATATTTCTTAATAGACATAGAGAGACATTGCTGATTTGATTTTTTTTTAAGGCATCTGACATCATGATATAGTATGATATGTGTTAACATGACCTAAAATTAATCATGTTCTAACTTTAACATCATGTCATTAATATACATGATATATCTATATATCATAATCTGGGTTTGACGTATACTTTTGTTCTGCTGCCACCGGCCTGGTTGCGGCTGCGAAGGTCGATGCAAAACCGGTGGTTCATCAGATTACCCGCTATGGCTTTCAAACATGGAACTGGGAAATACTTGGAAATACCCCATTTTTATGGAGATAATATGAGATAATATGGAGGTTTCAGAAGGGAAGAATCATATGCACATATATAATATACGTATAGACATATGTATAGACATATGTATATATGGGATTATATGGGGTTGATTTTCCATTGCCATGTTTGATGACCGGAGGGTAGACCCGTGCTGCTGAACATAACTTGGTATTGCTTGGTGGACCTAAGCTTTGCTTGGTGATAATCATAGATACCTTCAGGGTGACTTACTGCAAGGTAAATCAAAATGGGTCTATGAAGGTCACTTACGGGAATCAACCACAATTGGTTGGGTGATTTCAGACAGGTTTGACTTTCCAGTCTATCAAAACGTAGGGTGGAAAGTATGAACCAAAAAAGCTGAACGACTATTGTCACCCCACAGGTTCCGGAATTCAGAAACACTTGCGCCTTAAGCTGGTTTTGTTGCTCTCAGGAATGCACGGACTCGGCAAGCCTTTCAGTCAACTTGCAAAATCTTTTTCGGGATGCGCTTCTGGACTTTGCCGAATCTCGGAATCACTGGGAACTGAATGAACTGAACCGCCAGACAGAAACTGAGTTTTCATCATAGGCGTCAAGCAGAAAATTAATTCCAATAATTGTAAATTATAGGAGATACTGGAAAAGTAACTGTTTCAGCATGCCTTTTGTAGGATTGTAGGATCAATATCTATATTATGTACCATGCGAATGCGTGTTTGCACATGTTTTTTCCTACATTGCACACCTGCACGCTCAGTTTTTACAGTACCCGCCCTTCCCCGACGAATAAACAAGTCAAAAAGAACTTGTCAATATTATCTTCAACATCTTCCACTCATACCCATATTTCATAATATTTTATGATATGTTATATATTTTTCTGTTTCATTGCATCCCATGAACAATTAAAGGAACAAGATGTTTCTGTCAATCCTCATAGTTTTCACCAAATCCGAAAATTAGTATCACCAGAAAAAGATCCCCATGAATATTCCCATTAAGGATCCATGAATGGCTATTTTGGATTGTAAATCTCCTATATTTTTGCCAACGAAAATGATATACATCACATATATATATATATAGATATATATATATAGATATATGGGATATATCATATATCCCATCAAATGTCCTGAATCCATTCATATCCCAGCAAGAATTCTTGGCCAGGACAACAACGACCGGCAAGTTCCCCAGCACTTGGTGATCTATCGCGGCTTCGTGGAGGACGAGGACTATCCATCTCTGGAGGTTGAGCTGAAGTCCCTGCAGGCGGTGCTCAACGTGGCGGCGAAGCAAATACGAGAGGAGTATGTGCCGGAGATCACCTACATCGCGGTGGCCAAACAGGACCGGAATGTGGGAAAAGCAATAAAAAAGAACAGGTTTGTAGCAGGTTTGCCTGCTATATTCTTGGGTTAGTAGATATCCATTGAATTGATATTGATCATATGGATATTAGATGGGGATGGGTCAAAATTTAAGACCACTGATCTTAATATATGTTTATCATTAACCACAATCTATAGATGGGGTACCCAAAAAATTTGGCCTCCAGATATTCACAAGAGAATGTCTAGAGTTGTAGAGTTGTGGGATGGATAATTTTTGGGTACCCTCTGGTAAACTAACATAACTATGGAAAGATCCACCATTTTTAATGGGGATTCATCAACTATAAATTGCCATTTTCAATAGCTATTTTGACATAACCAGAGGATACCTGTAGGACTGGGATGATGTAGAATTACCCAAAAATTGTGCTTCTGGGATGTTCAGAGGCCTAGCTTGAAAAAAAATCTACAAACGGGTTATATATTTTCATCTATTTTCCATAGCTATGTGTGCCAGAGGCTAGGTGATTTTTTTGGTGTTTTTTTTGCACCTGTGATCAGTGTGATCTTGAAGATTTCATGGGGATAATCCATCAAGAGACCATGGGTATCGTTTTGGACCCATGGCGGGGCATCCACCATTTAGAGATATTTGTGTCTGAAAATAGGCTCCCCGAAAATCCCCAATTCCAATGGATGATTTTCATCTGAAATCACCATTCGAATGGCCATGACATGGAAAATAGGGTATACCGTATACCATATACCCTCTGGTAATTTAACATAGCTATGGAAAATCACCATTTTTAATGGGAAAATCCACTATAAATGGTCATTTTCAATAGCTATGTTAGTTTACCAGAGGGTACCGTATACCCCATGTTCAAACCACCGCGCCGCAGTTCGGTGGTTGGTCAGGATGACATGCGCATCTTCAGCCTACGACCTGATGTGGCGAACATTGCAAACCCAGAGTCAGGCGACGAGGGGCTCTCGAGCCATGTTTTTCAGGACCAAATGGGTAGGTCCTGGGTAGGTCTCCAGGTCTCCAACATTTTTTTTAAGATATATGATTTGCTGGAAAAATCTCTATGTATAGATTATGTTCCCAGCTGTGAACCTAGATTTATATTTGATTTCATTTATATAGTTCGGCTCGCCATGTCTTTCAGACACTGGAGGGTTTTTTGGGCGTTGCAAGTGGCCAAGATGCGATCGTAGTGCATAAGGCGCCCCAAGATTATGCCGTTTGGAAGTTGGTTGGCTGGCAGTTGTCCCCTTGACCCATTGATACCCATTTCCATCCATTTCCACTTGGTAGGGTGATCATCCAAGTGTACCAAGATGGTAATTGTGGGTCAATTGTGGATACAATCAAAGCATAAAACATATTTTGTCCAACGACTGTGTCCACAAAATTTCCTATCGGAAACAGGCAATTTGGGACAAATTCTAGACAAATTAGCACTTTAATGGGAATGGGATCGCAATTGAGCAACAAGGATGGACATGTCACCAGCAGCACAGATATGTTATTGCACTACGTATGGCCAACAAACTTAGTAGGCAGCTGCACTCACCTCAAAAACACATAGTGTAGCCATGTATAGACAACAAAGAGCATCACCAAACAAAATGTGTGTATGTTAGATTTTAAATCATTTTGATGGTATATAACATTATATAACCATATTTAACCATGTTTAACATTGTTCAACCAAGAACAGGATATATGGTCCATGTTGCCAGGGTGGTGAAGCGCCGAAAACAAAAGCAGGTACCGTGGTGGATGATCCCAAAATTTGCTCAAGCACCTTTCCCAGCTTCTATGCCATCAATCAGAGCACAACCAAAGGAACAGCCGTCCCTCGTCAGGATCCGTGATTGTTGATGAGTTTTGTTTTGGTTAGGAATATGTTTACCCCCAAAACATCCCAAAACATTGTAGATTTAGACGCGGACTCGTTATTTTCATGATGTGTTACGTGTCCACAGATTTCATTCCCAGCAACAACTTGTACACAAATTCACAGGTCCATTTAGTAAGGCGTCTGCAAAAACGCGTTACTTCACATGAACACGTGACTGATGAGCCGGGTGGATTTGGGGATACCTTATGTTCAGAATCTGAAAATTGGCTATCCCCTGCTCGAAGATGGATTCCCTTTTTCGCTGGAAAATCCCATGGTAGCTGGAAAATCCCATTGGAACACATTGTTTTGCCAGAGGATTTCATCCCCGTAATTATTTTGTTTCCTAAAAAAAACGTAAGAACGTGGTTTGAGAAATCCTCATGTTTCATGATTTTTCATATCCCTGTGCCCATGATAAAAAATGGTGGATCTCAGTTTGGGTTTTCTAGATCCTGATTTCTCATGCTTGGTGATCAAATAATTACCATCAAATACCCACGTTTGGTGGTTAGTTTAATCATTTAATTCCTAGTGGCTAAACAGTTTTGCTGGTGAGGTCCTCAATTTGGAATTTCCCCAGGTTCCAGCCCACTTTAGTGTCCTGAAGAAGCCCGAGAACATGTCCATGGACTTTATCCAGTCCTTGACCTATCGCCTGTCATTGTCACCTTGGCCTTTTATAGGGAAAGCCAGTCTGGTCTCAGCTGTCAAGTCTCAGCGGGGAAATGACTCCATGATGTTATGGCCATTCTTTTTGGGGAACATGATGATTATTACACATATAACACTCATATAACATCATATAACACTAGTATTGCCCATTGAGATTGCTGGTGTTTCTGATGGGGCTGACTTACCCAGCCAAAAACTAGAAGTGTTTGGCAGGGATGAGAATGGAACAAGCGTGTTCAGTATTGACACTCAGGGTTGGCCATTGGGCCTGAAGACATCTACCACAGTGGATGTAACATTTACCAAATATAGAATACTTATGAATACTTACAGTACCAATGTTTCCACCAAAACACCCAGAAAATACAGAAGAACACAGAAGAACGTTCCCAGATTGACAACCAATGACCGATGGAAGTCAAGATGTCCGACAGATGGCTTCATGCCACAAGGCTGTACTACAACTCCAACGCCGCCATTCGTTTGCCAGCTCCCCTGATGTACGCGCACCGTTTGGCCAAATTTGCGGGAACGGTGCTGCGCAGGGAACCAAGTAATGACCTGAGATTGACGCTCTACTACCTATGACGCGCAGAAAAAAAATGTCCGCGACGTGTTATAGGTTGTGACTAACAATCCCCCAATTCTTTTGGATGTTCTATGTCAGTTTCACATCGAAGTGTTGTAACCCAATTCCAAGTTGGGTATTCCCTTCGGCAACACATCCTGATGGGGATCGTCAGTCAAGTCAGCAGTTTTGGACAGTTTTTAGACATTTTTGGTGCCTCAAATCACATTATTGAATCATTATTGTTGATTAGATCCTTTCTGCCAGTTGCTGTAAGTCGGGTTTGCTTCCCTTTTTTGCTGGTTGATTCCCTCCTTTTCTGAATGCCAAAAATCCCGGCTGTTTTGATTGATGAAATCGAGTAAACCAATTTTTGGCCCGTGAACTCCCATTTTTCGTGGCTTAAACCCAATTTTCCGGTGGGTTAAAAAACCCCGGGCCCTTAAGCAGCCAGGACGCAGCCTGGAATGCGGTAGCTGTGCCCAGTCCGGCAGAGAAGGCTGGGAAAAAAGATGAAAGCTATTGAGGTCCCTGTGGCTGCATACTTGGGGGTGCAGTTGGGGTTAGAAATCCTTGATTGTTGTAGATTTTTTATAATGTCCCCAAGGGGAAATCCAGTACTTGGAGAGTCTATAGGGAATATGTTTTAGTTTTTCGGGGTTCCTTAAGCAAAGCCAAGACATTAAATAACCATTGTTATAGAAACCATAGTTGGGATATAACCCTACGTACAACTGTGGTGGAATCTGTGCAATTATCAGTGAAACTATAGATCAATGGCCATATCTATGGTTGAATAATGTTCAATATAATGGGATGTATTGTAATATATATATATATTATCATATTATGTTAATTTATTAGCAACGGTGGGGGCAAAAAAACAAGTATTCTATGGAAATTGATGGAATATTCGTGGTATATTATATTACTCAACATGAATCTGATATTTGAGTGCTTCGGAAAATGGCCCCCCCCACCTCCAAATAGTCAGTTAATAGGAAAAATCATCATAAGCCAACAGATTTTGGGGTAATTTTCATATTAAAAAAACATAGATCAAAACACTTTCCTACCCTGAAATGTTCACATCAAAATATGTTTTTTCTTTAAACAAATGTTTTTTTTGCGCCTTCTCCCAAATATTGTTGTACACTCTGGTAGTCAAACGTGGCAATGGAACACCTCCCATTTATAGATGATTTTCCCATTAAAACTGCATTTATATATAGAGGATGTCGAATCGCTATATTTGATTACGGATGGTATTTCCATGAATTTGGTATGCTAGAAAGACCCAACCCCCCACTTGGTCCCAGATGCCCTTTCTGTTTGTCCAAACTGACCACCAGTTCTATAATCACTTTCCCACACATTCCCAAGATGGACAAAGAAGCTGTAGCAACCCAGAAAAAATCAAACAGACAGAACAAGAATCAAATCCTAGTGGTAAACTGATGCAAGTTGAACCTTTTATATCCTTTTGAGGGTTACTACATGTTACTACAAATTTTCCCCCAAAAAAATTGGACGCCAGGCGCTGCCCTGGTTCCCGGGCATTGGCAAGTTGCGGCGCCAGCGGCGACTGCAACGGAAGGCGAACCAGGTGAACCCCCAGGAGGCTCGGTATGCTAAATTGCGATAATTTTGATAAAATGGGTTCAAGTTTGGTTAATTAAATGGTTACTTTTAATTCGAATGGTTAATGGTTGCTTTAGTGGTAAGGTGGATTTAATGAACTGCGTCGTTTAATGTATATTTGGAGATTTGCTAACCAAAAAAGAGACATGACGGGTATATGATTGGTGATTTACCAGGAAACGTGCGATCAAACATTTGGATGTGACCTAATATGAAACTGGCTTGTGGTTTGACATATTTGATCATATTTGTTACTTTCCATCCGAGAAATGAGATTATGATCTTGACAAGCAAGTATATTTCAAGGAGGTTCAAACCACCAAGTTTCAAATCTTGAGTTCTCTTCAGTCGTAAGGGATTTTTCACGAATAGTGGATCCCGAAATTCGACGTCATAAATGTGGAGTTTTTTTTGTCAATTATCCAACAATTGACTGCGAGTTATATGAGAGTTATATGAGAGTTATATGAGAGTTATATAAGGGATCATGATGGATCATTAACATTGTGAATCAATCGGGGTGTTATGAATTCCACATCTCACAATCGGCCATCCAGAGGGCTAATGAATGCTAATGAAATCTCAGGCCGTTACGTTGCCAATTGCCCCTCCATCTACCTTTCCAAGGACCATTCCAATGTGAGTTGACATTCTGTTTTTGGGACCAGAAAAGGAGTCCTAGGAGTCCTAGTCCGTCTCATACTCATTGTTGTTGGGTCAAGACTATCAGATTTGCTCCTTTTTATCAACAAGAAACTCCAAATTTTGACGCATCTTTCATCCCAAGGATGGCTGCCGTCATTATGAATTTGGGTTTGGTTGAAAAGCCAAGCAGTTAGCAGGGCTTCAAGAGTTATTACAGTATCATAATATTTGCCACATCTCCGGTGTTGCTAGAATCATAGTTGTTTTGCTCTGAATTTCCGCTGATTTGCGTATATCTCCACAAAAGAACAACACAGGAACCTCTATGGATATCAGCCCCAACAAAAGAGAGAAAAACCGTCAATGTACCACATTTGTTTAAGTAGGATGTTAAGACGCTTGATTCTTTTTGCAGGGTAAAATCCAAACAAAGTACAAGGTTTGACACTTTTTGAACTGCTCAAATCCATCATTCAATGGGTCCAAGAAAATCCAATGAAGACACAGGTTAAAAAATGTTCCATCATAATTCATAACAATCCATACTAATCCATCATTGATGTTTCAGTGATAGATGGCTGCTCAACCGTACAGACATGAAACATAGAAATTATCTTGGTCAGATATCTCGCCAGCTAATCCATCATAATCATTCATAATCCATAAAACAAAATCATTGAACCACTAAAATCTCCAAAGGAGATCATCCACCAACGCGGTGTTTGCTAGGCATCGGCGGCATCGCCCCATCTCTACGGCGCGGCGGAGATCCTTACACTGCGGGAACGACCGGCGTTGGGCCCCCAGGGTGGGAATAGCCTCTGGTTATGTCAAAATAGCTATTGAAAATGGCCATTTATAGTGGATTTACCCATTGAACATGGTGATTTTCCATAGCTATGTTAAATTACCAGAGGGTATCATTTTTTTCTCAATAGCAATGGCAATTGTAATGGTAAGTGGCTGGTGGATTTCAAGAAATCATCCCTTCACCCTAATATACCCCAAATGTTAGCATATATGCCATACATGGATCGTATGGGTAATATTAAACGTCCCCTTCCAATAATAAAACCTAGGGGTAGTTTGTATTGGAATCCTGGAAGGGGGGTATTTAACTTTCGGGGGAGAAGCCTTCCCCAAGTAACCAAAAAAGTAAAACCTTAATTTAAAAACTTTTCAATTTCAAAATCAATTAAAATTCCTTTTAGAATCTAATTGAAACATTGCCAAAAATTGGATTTCGAAGCTTTCCCCTAATAGTAAATTTAAAACCTTAATAAAAACAAATTGAAATGTTCGATTTTAACCAACGGACCCTATTAAAAACAATGCGGGGTTAGCTAGTTTTTATTATCAAGGGGGGAGAACCTTCAAATGCACCTTGAATTTTAAACTTTTTTCTAAAGGGGATCAATTAAAAGTCAAATTGACCAATCTGAAATTTCAAAAAACAAACAATCTGGCGTAGTTTGGATTATTTAGGGGGGGTTTAGGAATAGGGAGAAGGGATTATTAAACCTCTCATAGCCATGTCAACTCTTCTTATCTCTCTTTTTCACGTCGTCTCACCCTTCAAATTACGTATTGATTTATTTCTGCTTCTTTTCAATGCAGCTCTTCTCACCTCATTCCGGTTGTCGCAGCCAATCCCAGTCTTGTTCTTTCTAGATGTTTTCTTCTTCTCACAAAATCGCTGGTCTTGTGTGCTACGCGTTCCGCAACGACACATGCAACCTGCTGATTAAGGTAAGCCCAGCTGTTCCATGGCAAAGACTGCAGCACCCACAGCTTTCGGCTCGCAGTTGACACCTTCAAAACTGCTGAGCCATGAATCTGGTAGTGAAGCTCGCTCTCATTGCATGGAGAAATATCTGGCTGCCACAAGCGCTACATTCTCGGAATCCTGTTGACATTGATCTACTCACATGTTGGGACCATGCATGAAGCTCGGTTGTGGGTGTTTTGGCATGTTTTCGGTGCATTTTCGTTCGGCCGGGGCGAAACTTGTCGTATAGACTGTATAATACTGTATATATATATTATATTAATTACATATACTTTATAATTATATATATATAATATATATAATATATATTATATAATAATAATAATAATAATATAGTAATAATATTAATAATACTATTAATAATAATAATGATATATATATAGATAGATACATACATACATACATATACTGTACATAGAAAATTGTATGGATGTAAATGACCTACATATTATGGTCCAATGGTTGATGTTTGTCAACATCCACTTAGCTCATTGGCCCCGATATGACCTGCATCTATCAAACCCAGACAGTACATTAATGTACAGGAATCACAACACATGCTCGGAAATGCTATATTTCATCGTGTCTATAAGACTATGCACAGACCCCAGAGTTGGCCATTTGCCCACAAACAGAATATATAGCGTGACAACCAACAAATTTCGAACGATTTCAAGCAAAACAGATGAAATTGTGGTGGCTTGGCAAGAGAAGCGTACTGCTATTAAATATTAAGGTCCCATTTGCATGGAACAATTGACCATACCGTCTTTTTGGGTTTCTGTATAGAAGATTAAGCATATTCCCCTACCATGGGAAAAAAAAGCCATACCGCAATTAGGGTTTTCTTTCAGGGTTTAAGATATAAACTTTCCCATCCATTCCCATCCCCATGGAACAAGGCCGTAGGATTATACACATCTAATTCATTCTACTTCATTATATCTATAATATACAATACAATATAACGCTATATTACTCTATATATAATTACATGTATCGTAGAATTAAACCTCCAATCATTGTTGACAAACGTGGACCAAACATCAACGTTTTCGCTGCGCAAAAAACGACTGGCGTTTTTTGGGCGCAACGCGCAGACAACTTCGATGCGAAGATCTTCCACCTGCACACCCCAAAGGCGGCAGGCTGCTCGGTGGTCTCCGATCTCAGTAGCTTGGTGGGACGCAAGAACATCTACTCTGGTGACTCGGCGATGAAACAGGGTTGGGATACCTGGTAAAAATGATGCACACTGGCAATGCTAATTGGGGATGGGTCAAAACCCTGGTACCTAGTGAACCCCAAAATAGCTGGTAAATGGATGTTCATCCCCCTAAAAATGGTATCTATAGGTATTGACCCATACCCAATTAATGTATGATGAGTTCGAATTTAAATCGCAATTCTGCTCACTTGAGTATGAAACCTCAACTGTGTGACAGGCAAGTGGGACACGCGCGGTACCCGTGGGGCAATGCTGATTGGGTCGTTATGTGGCACACTATAATTGGGTGAGAGACATCGCAACTGAGCAACCAAAGAGATAAGCCCTAGAAAGAATGCATTTGTATTTAACAAAAACGAAGCATCGCAACACAAATCCTAGAAAAACACAAGAAATCCGCAAAAGGAACTGGAAAAGGAACTGGATGGAAACTGGGACAGACAAATGGAACCGGAAAAACACAGGACATTCCACTACCCTAGGCAAATGCAACCGGAAAACAAAGGACATTTCACTACGCTGAAAGAAGGGAAAAGACAAGCATAGGAAACCATGGTTGTTTGAAGGAGACTGGCGCACAGGAAGTGGGAAGAGGAGACGGGGGGAAGGAAGTGGGGCGGGCAAAGTGACGAAAAGGTCATGCTATTGGTGCAGCTGAGTTGTCACGGCTGGTGGGAATGAAATGAAACTATATTGCAGACAAGGAACGATGGGCCTTATCATCCACCATACTGGCGTTGTCAGGGTTGGCGGGAATGATATGCAACTATATTGCAGACGATGAACGTCGGGCCTTGTTATTCACCATTATTGCGTTGTCACGGGTTGTAGAAGTAACTGGCGCTGGGATTATTTCCTGATGCCAGTGACCCTGGCATGGCCATGATGGAATTATTGTAAGGAGAATCACCTCCCAAAGCCATTGCTTTCAGTTCATCTTAGTTATCAAGAGTGTGTGAAACTGCAAGAAAGGGATATGTTTCAGGAACCCTAGAGGTACCTGTGCAATTGTCCAGCCACATCGTTTTTTTTTTGCAGGGGTTGGTACATGTCCTTTTTTGTATTTTGTTCACATGTCTTTAAAATATTTGTTGGAGATTTCTGCAAATTATATCCCCAACTGTTGGGTGATGTTCAAGCAGGCCTTGCCAACCTTCCAAAGTTGACAATTACCAGCCATTTACCGTTTACCATTTACCGTTTACCATTGACCAACCATTAATTAACCCCTGTTTGATTACCAGATTTAACGAATGTGACTTTGGTTTCAAGTTGACAGCTACGAATCTTATTCTTCAGAGACTGGGCCACGACGTAGCTGGTACGATGGGATTTCGATTGGGCTAACTATCCCAAAATATCCTTATCTCAGTTTTACGAATTACTGAACATTCATCCAGATTGGATGTGTGCGATGATATTGGTGTGCATGAAAGACATGTATCCTCTGTTATCATTCATTTTTCAGCAGTGTCGTGGAAATCTAACGTGATCAAATCATATCAAATCAGGCATCCCTTGATTCAATAGGGGCCGTGAGGGCACCATAGGTGATCCAGGTACGAGACTGGTACGCACATCGTTGCTGGACAGTGTCGGTTGTTCAGATGTGTGATATGGTCAAGTTAGTTGCATCATGTTACACGGTACATGCATATGAGAAAGAGGCTAAACTCTCCGTGTAGGAGGTATGATGGAGGTATGTATTCGAGCGATTTATCATGTAAAAAATATGCATCTTGATGTGTAAAACGATATAGTGAAGTCCCAAACACGATAACGTGGGAATCATATCATATGTGAAAGCATTGTGGGAAGTAAAGGAGTGGTGTACATGACATGATGGTGGATACCTGTTCTAGAAGCATCTAGATCATCTAGGCTCTCAGCTGTGGGGTATACGTCATGCCCTGCTCATACCCTAAATCACATTTTTCAATTGAGGTTTTGCCGATCGCTCATATGGCATATGCCATGGTATATACCATCATATGGTATATACCATCATATGGTGTATACCTGATACATGGTATATAGCATGGTTTATACCATGGCTTACACATGGTATAAACCCATGGTTCGTTGATGCCGGAAAGATGGGTCGTCCCACCAGGGGCTGTCATAACCTGACATTTCAATTATTACAGTTTAACCATGTTTAATACATGTCCTTTTTTAAAAAGTGACTTAGGGTCATGTCTATTCATCCAAACCTATAATATAACATTTAGCATCCCTTTGCATATCCCTTCCCTCTTAAAAATGAAATTTGAGGGGGGGGAGTCGTACTGAAATGTCATTTTAAAATTCCATTTTTGCATTTATTTTTCTCAATGATCAACATTCCTCGTCATTCCATATCATTGGCAAACAGATGAAAATCAAATACTTGCGCTTAGCTCCGGAGGGGCTAAGCACATGTCAGACTGAAGCAGCACATGCGTAGGGTGGCATCCCTCCAAAAATTGCGCTGCCATCTTCACACTTGCGCTTAGCTCCTCCGGAGCTAAGCGCAAGTATTTTCTAACCAGTGCCCAAGGCTTGTCAAGAAATGTTACTTTAAAGTTCCATTTGAGCAATTGGATCACTATCCCAGGGTTTCCAAGCAAAAAAAAGTGGAATTCGACAGGTTGGTTTTGTCCCCCCCCCGCCCTCCCCCTCTATAGGGGTAGGGATCTTTGCATCATGACCTCAAATCGTTTTCCGTCACTGGAATGATGGTTTATGCATGGGGAATCATCCACAAATGGCCGCAAGTTTCAGTTATTTTTAGAATACAAGTGAGTTACTCAGAATTATCCAAAACCCGGCTTACTTATGACATATTTCTTGAAATTGTCGATGAGTCTATATTTGTCTTATCATGTGTATCTATTTATGTTGCCTTAAGTATTCCTGGATCCAGTAAGTGTTTCGCCTCTGGAAATCCAATGCTCGTGCGTGAAACATAATTGTGGTTGGTGAACTCTTTAGCCCCGTGTGTTCAAACCCCATGTTCGTTGGTTAACGTTTACGCCAGCCGCGCCATGCTTGGTGAACGAAAAACTGCATTAAATTTGTTTTTCGTTTTAGTCCGCTCCCTTGAAGTGGTTGACTCCCCATATCTGGTGAATTTTTCAATTTATTCAAGGTCCCCTTTTTTTTGTGTTCGGATGACCTGGGAATCCGCGAGACCCTCCATCCTGGCCGCCCCCCGAGACGAGCGGTGCTTCCGCTTGTCGGACTCTGCCAATTTCACAGCGCTACAAGACAGGGTGGCCTAGCCGCGTTTTTTCCCACACGTCACGATGCCAGTGGATGGAAGGGAGGTTACTAGGGGCAAATACTAAACATGCGATGCTCCTGATACAATCCAAAGTAATTAGGGTTAGGGAGATTAATGGCAGAAATACGAGTAGTTTGACCGTCAACCACCAGCAATTTATGGGAATGTTTTTCCCCGGGGAATGGCCATCACGGGAACTCGAGCATCCAAAGAATGGGGTTTGAAGGAGAGCAGAATATGTCACGGGTCACGGGTCCCTTATTTTCACCATTGAAGAGTAGTTCATCATCACATATCATCACTTGAAATGGAGATACTCTAGCAGTGAACCAGTGACGGAACCTTGTGGACTGGGGATTACACAGGATCCATGTTTCAAACACCCAAGATAGATCAAACAGATATGGCAATGTACATAATTATGATCGCAACAAATTTGGATGAGACATGACCAGATATTATGTTTTGACTCACAGGCATGGTTTCCCTTAAACTCTCGTTTCTCTCAACGAAGGTGGTCATGATCCGACAACCTCGGGAGCACGTCTTCTCGCAGTACCAATTTTGCAAACTGGCAAGCGATCCAGGCTGCGGCTTCAGCGGCGCCCAGGTAATCTGGGATTGACTTTAGTAACTTTAGTAGATAAAAGATGATAAAAGTCAAGGTGGTTGAGGTTGAAAGGATCTTGATTGAGTATGAGCGTGATTCAGTGATTCATGTCGTAATTTTCATCACCCTGGTTTTCACCCCCGAACACAACATTTGTTCTTCAGCTCCTCGAAACTTAAACATGGAGAGCCAGCCATGTTTGGAAGAAAACCTAATCTTTGTTGGTGCCGACGTTCCCTTTCTCTTCATAAAAAACTTGTGTTTTGCTGCTTAACATGATCCTTTCTTTTGTTGGTTCAATTAAACCAATGTAAAAATCCTCGTCATGTCTATGTTTTTGTTAACACACAGACCAACCACATTTTTCTTCAACAAACAACCAATTCAATGTGCCTGTTGCTTAAATCTCCTACTTTACAATCATGTCATCTGTAAACATGACACGAAGAGTTGCATTGGGATGTGTTGGGGAAATCCCCATAGTTTTACAGATCATTAATCTATATCAATCGCAATAATCTTAAATCCACATGTGTTGCATCTGAATCTAAATTCATCTATATAAAATCATCTTAAATCCGCATAATTTTGCTCAAATCCCCATTACCCTCTGGTAAATGAAAAGTTTGACTCAGTTTGAACCTGAAAATCACCAATGTTTAGTGGTTTCACTCATCTTCCCCGATTTGACAGCCTCGAACTGTGAATTTACAGCCGGGTCTAGCTAGGGACAAAGTCTCGTCTTAGTCATCTAGAGAAGTCAACTGAAATCACCTTGAAATCCCCCCTTTGGGGATGAATCCCGGCGAAATCTCCCCATGACCAGGCTATCGAAGTACCTTGAGATATCTGCGGGGCCTTCCAGGTGTGTCTGAAAATTGGGGGTACCCGGTACCCACAAAATTGTGCCAAAATTGTGGGGATAACATTTGGTGTGCAAATTACATTATGAACCCATGATAATTCCAGTAGAATCACCAGATGGGGTCGGGTGAATTCTAATGAAATCAAAAGGTCTTGCCCTCCAGCGAACTACCCGTAACTATGGAATCTATGGTCGATTTAGTCAGATCATTTACCTAGTAGGACTCGTGCTGGCTGTTAGATCAATGATGGCTAGAAGGGTGGATCAATTGAGCCATTAAACATGTCCTTGTAGATGGGTTACCCTCTGGTAAACTAACATAACTATGGAAAATCACCATGATTAATGGGAAAATCCACTATAAATGGTGATTTTCAATAGCTATGTAACAAATTACCAGAGGGTATACTACCTGGGTTCACCATGGTGAGTTAACCCCCATGAGTTGCGATGGAAACATGACCATGGGATCCTTAAGTCCAATGGGAAATCCCTGGGATTAAGCACCATTTGTTTTTTCATATCCACCAACATCCTGCTTTATTCATATCATAGAATTGGATGATGGGAAAATTTACAGGAAACCCCTATATTTGATGGTAAAAACCATGGGTTCCTGTAAATTTTCCCTTAAACCAATCCAATGATCATATCAATTCATATCATTCATGGGATTTTTTTACCCGTTATAGGGCAGGATTCCCATGATGGGATGGATGTCCATTAAGCACATTCATCCCATGTTTTGACCGCATTGAACCATGGGTCCGTTGGGGTGTCCTCCGACCCATTGGCGAATGTGTTTGGTCAACAAGATCAGCTTGCACTCAAACTGAATTTCTGTATCTCAACTTTAGATACAGGTTCAAACAGTTTTTTTTCCAATGTGATTTTGTTGAACTCCTGTGAATTTTCTGTAAATATAATCTCATCAAATGTGGATAAACTCCAAGACGACTCCTTTTGGCTGATGTTTTTGGCTCTTACTGGGAGTTTTTGGATGTATTCAAGAGTTGGAATAAACACATTGGCCAGCAACAATGTGGGTCAAATCAACGATATTATTCATGGGATATTTATGGCATTTAATGGCATTTAATGGCATGTATACCCTCTGGTAATTTAACATAGCTATTGAAAATGACCATTTATAGTGGATTTTCCCATTAAAAATGGTGATGTTCCATAGTTATGTTAGTTTCCCAGAGGGTATAATCAACATTAATCACCAATCTGATCTTTGTATCTGAAAATCGCGGATTGACTCCCCGGTTTGAAAGACTTGGCGGGTTTTTCTGATTCACCAGACAAAGTCCCACAGAGTTTTTTTTTTTTCGCCCCTTTGAGATCATATAGAACATCACTGGGGACATCATAGAACCTGGTACCCTCTGAAAAACATACAAAAAAACATTGAAAATCAACATTTTCAACGGGTAAATCCACTATAAATGTCCCATAACTACAAGGAAAGATCCACCATTTTCAATGGGGAAACTCATGCACTATTTCTACGGCCATTTTCGATGTCGCTATGTTGACATTTCAACGGGTACTCGGATAGTAACCCCGTAACCCCCGTCTTCGGAACCAGGTCAGACGAACTTCCATTTGGCGAATTCGTTCCAGAATTGGACGGACGAATGGACGCGCAGTCCTCGCTATGGCCGCTACAGCATCTACGATCCTCGCTGCGGGTGAATGGTACCCGGGTGACCACAGAGGAATTAACATAACTATGGAAAATCATCGGCTTTTAATGGGTAAATCAACTATAAATGGCCATGTTCAATAGCTATGTTAAATTGCCAGAGGCTACTCAGTCCGCGTTTTTTTTTGGTAACCATCAGACTGAATCACATGTTTTGCAGCATATGTTCATCAATGCCATGTGAACACGTGACAATGTGTTGTCATCGTCAATGGATTGGTTAAAGGGAACATCTACAGGAAACCATGTTACCCGTAGATTTAGTGGTTTCCTGCAGTTTTTCCCACCACTTCCGGGACAGAATGATGGACATTGATGGATGTCTCAAGGAAGACTACGAGTTCTGTTACTGTCCGCACAACTTGCAAGCATCCAGACTGGCGTGCCAAAACGACAACTTCTGCTCTGCAACTGTTGACCTCGATGCCGCAAAACGCAGCCTTGATGCTGCGACCATGCTGGGTGTGACAGAAGCCTATCACGAGACTGGGATGCACTGAGAATTCCCTGGTTGAAAGACATGTGTCATGTGTGAAAGCTAGATCCACACAGACTTTTCGGCATCTATGAAAATATATTGGTAAGTTTGTCATCGAAATTAGGATGCGTGGTCAGCGGGTTCCAACTTCATAGACCATCCGCCAGTATCTGAACTCATCCCCGACCTCACCATAGATTTTGTTAAGCATTGAGGAAATAAGCAACGAAAGCAATTGTATAATATTGTATATATGTTTTTCTGTACATGTACGGTTTCCCTGTTTCCAGTGGTATCCAATCTATGACCAAATGCCTTGGGCTCGACCCCGGCAACACTTCGGCTTCAAATTTTGGAAATACTGCATAGGTAGATGCAGCACTTCTGGCATTTGTGCCCTTGTCGAGTATGTATTGTTGCTTCCATGTCATGTATGTCAAGTGTGCGTTGGGCTCCCAGGTAATCAAGCAGTTGGGGATGTTGTACAACACCCACGCAAACTAAACACCTATTTCTAGCAAGATTTAGCATGACTATCCTTGATGTGCGATGATTTTTGCTGGGAAATCTATTGGGGAATCGATGGGGAATCCATTTCCACTGGGGTGATCAAGCTCCAGTGACCCCATTGTCATCCCACTGGCCTCCAGGAGTCACTCTGTTTGTTCCATGCCCATTTGATGGGCGAGCTGCCAGATCACTGCAATTGCGAGAGCCCTGACTGGAACTCCTACAAAGAAACCAAAGAGACGCATGGGGAGAGCTATGAAGGATCCATCGAGGACCTGAGATGTAGATTTCCCCCATTTTGGGACCGTTCTGACATGTTCTGGCGCTGATTTTGGTTGGAATCTGGGCATGTTTGACGTCTTGGCTTTTGAAAGGGGATAGCCAACACTATAGCGTAGTTATTGTATATATCATATTATATATGTAGATCAGCCCGCAGCTCACATCATGCAATTTATATATATTATATATTATATAAATATAGAGATTACATTTAGTCTTACTCAAAGGAGCTGCACGAATCCCGTCCAACCGCAGAACCCCCCCGTTAAACGCTTCGTGTGCTGACCACAGCATGGAGCTGTGTCGCAGCAAGTACGAATAGGGTTTCCCCCACCAGATGGTCAGATGAGAAGTGGCGAAAACCCCTGTTGGTTAAAGATTATATGGGATTATATGGCTGGTTGGTGGTTTGGAACATTTGGATTATTTTCCATATGTTGGGAATTTCATCATCCCAACTGACTTTCATATTTTTCAGAGGGGTAGGTATACCACCAACCAGACTACCCTTTTAAAAGATTGCATGGGGATTGTCATAATCCATTATGGGAAATCCGATGAACCGTTTTGAACGCTGCTGAAACGGTAAGAACCATATGGTTATAACAAGCACTAGTTGGGATATAACATGATATAACCCTACAACTGTTGACAAGTATAAGCTGTGATGATATTTACACTCTGGTAATTTAACATAACTATGGAAAATCACCATTTATAGTGAGTTTATCCATGAAAAGTGGTGATTTTCCATAGTTATGTTAGTTTACCAGAGGGTATATAAACTATTATAAAACTTATATAACCCTAAAGATTATATGGGATTAGTTGTCCATGAAGCCATGAAGACTCTTGGATATTCCCATTGTACTACCCAAATCTACCCAATATATGTATAATTATGTAAATATATATATATTATTTATTTATATATTATATATATTGTGTTATATATATAATATATATATATGATATTATATATTATATTATTATATATTATATATATATCGGGTATTGTCCCCACCATAGAAAGGTTCCCAGGTTCTCAGGTTCGCCAGGACATGCCAGCAGAGACCATTGCGCAGGTTGATGCCATGACTCAGCAGGACAGGGCCATCTATCAGCGCCTCGCTTCGGTGTTTTTTTCAAACTGAGCTTTTTGGATGACACAAATCCGGGAGACTCCAGATGTTTTTGCCCAAAACATCCAGGGTCCCTTGAAACATGATGAATCCAGGATTGACCATTTGGGAGGCAAGGATGGGAACTGCCAATGTGTGGGATGTGTTGATTTACCACCATGGTTTGTTGAAATGAACTATGACCTTATTGGGATTACTGTACCACATTATGGGATTACCAAGGGAAATTCCACCTACAGATTGGATTGCTGTACCACATGAATTCCATAAAGTTCCATAATCCTACAACAGATTGCACCTACTTGGCAGCTTTCCTGATTCTCAACTCAGGAGAGGTGTGAAGCGCTTCGTCGCAGACGTGCAGAAAATGGAGAAACGCTTTGGAACAAAGATCCTGTGCCAGGAACGACTGAAGATGTTGGACCAAAAGGCCAATTACTGAGAAAATCCGCCCAAACATGGGCAGTCGATGAATTCGGGACGCCAGTTGTTTCTACTGCGGCAAAAAAGGCTCCCAGACGTGGATATGAAATGGTGAATGGGGAAACATGCAAGAAGAACCCGCAATCCGCAACATCAATATTCAGGAAGCTTTTGACATGCCATTGGCATCACGATCCCATCACATTTGACTTGAGCTTACCGTCTGATTGTCTGATTGCTGAAGCAAGATGTGTATGATGTACTTATGTTTTGCTCCTCCTTGACTCCTTGGCCATGGAATCCAGATCGTCCAAGTCCAATCAGGTGAATTTTTCATGATTATCATTATCCCTTTTTCACGGAAAAGGTGGCGATTGTATTGGTACCATATCTTGTTGGATCTCCCCGATGTTTGAGCTTCAAGCCTGGTTTGTTGCTGGTGTCATCATGTGTCATTCTGAGTTTCTGTTGATGTTCTCCAAATCTGGCCCATGCAACCATCATAACATCATAACTATAGGTAAATCACAGGCATTTTTGCGTTGAACATTGGTAGTCTTACCATATTCATCTGCGCATCTTCTCCCCCACGTGGGGGGCAATCCCGTTTCTTTGTCAAATCCACATGTTTTTTTGGTGAAATCCCCTATATGTTTGTTGGGTAACTCTACATTTTTGCTGCTGAAATCACCATTTCCCAAGAATTCTTGGATGGTTTTTATACAGATCGTCAATTGGAATATCAATCCAACAATTCTTGCTGATTCAATCACCATTTCCCAACCTCCAACAGGTCTGACGTTTCGGCGCCCGCGATCCGCCCGGTCAGTCCGGAAGCGTTGGAGCAGCGGCCGCAGACGGCGCTGCCGGGCAATTCGTCCGGGAGACCGAGCGAGAAAGGGAAGGATCCATGGTCTACCCTCTGGTAATTTAACATAGCTATTGAAAATGGCCATTTATGGCGGATTTTCCCATTGAAAATTGTGATTTTCCATAGTTATGTTAGTTTACCAGAGGGTATCCATGCTAAATCCATGGTTGGAAAGTGACAGTATTCCGTATGATTTTCGATTATCTAAAATTATCTGTATGGTCTATGATAATCTGTATGGTTTGAATAGGATTGACAAAGGAGAAATTGGGGTGGTAAAACCGACGAAGAATGGGATTCTGACTCAATCAATTAAAAACATGAGTGAACCAAGTGTTGATCGTTAGTCTAGTACAAGTCAGTCTCGTGCCATGTGATAGGGCCGATAGGGATATATAATATATTTTTTGTGTAACCTAACCAGCTAAAAAAACAGTGTAAGATTGGCCATCATTTGGGTTTCTCTCCAAAATTGGGATGTTGGGCTTCTTCAGCTTTGAGACATCTCCATGTCACCATGTTTCTACTGCTGACATGATGGTGTTTTGTTACATGTTCCCCCCAAAAAACAATACGTGGATTCTTGCCTGTGGCTTACTTCCCTGGCAGGCTCCACCCCACCCCTACCCTCTGTACACTCCAAAAAATCATGCGAACACGAAGAACCACAGGGTTTCCCACAGAAATTGCTGTGGATACATCAAATGTGTGGCATTTACTGTATTATATATTTGGGAAATCAAGTTGATATGGTTCCAACCTGTTATCATATATCGTTTTTGATATATATATATATATATATGATATATGTATATATATATGATATATGTATATATATATGATATATGTATATATATATGATATATGTATATATATATGATATGTATATATATATATATGATATGTATATATATATATGATATATATATATGTGATATATATATATATCATATATATATATATCATATATATATATATATCATATATATATATATATATCATATATATATATATCATATATATATATATCATATATATATATATATCATATATATATATATATCATATATATATATATATATCATATATATATATCATATATATATATATATACATATTATATGTCAAATATCAATAGATATCATATATCAATCACGTCATACCATACAATAATACAATATTGAACAACCAGGAACGTTTTTCTGTGGCTTGCCATAGCTGAGGGCCGGTCTGCGTGTGTTCCTGGCACAGCCTGTGGAGGATCGTTGGCTTCGTCCGGAACTCAGGGGACCCCCAGTCATCATCCCAGTATTTCCATAGGATTTTCCATAGGATTTTCCATAGGACTCAGTAGCCTCTGGTAATTTGTTACATAGCTATTGAACATGGCCATAGAAATAGTGAGTTTTCCCAGTAAAGATTGTGATTTTCCATAGTTATGTTGGTTTACCAGAGGGTAAGAAAAATATGGAACTTCCATGTTTTTTGTATTTGGGGATGGAATAACCATCCATAAACCAGCTATTTGGGGGTACCTAGGGTACCAGGGATTCATATTATTCATATTTATCCTCCTGAAGTAGATAGAATAGGGGATTTAGATATGAATCATAGAGAATATCCTAGATATGTGATTCATAGAGAATTAATAATTGTACAATAAAAATTGGAATCTCATACGTGCTCAAAAGGCGGATAATATACCTATATTGGGTGATGATCATCAATCCATTACATAGGGAATTCTATACCCATGATATTTAGTAATCTCATGTAACTTAACCCTGGCACATATATATATATAATTATATATATAATACACATATATATAATATTTATCGTTGAATTGGTTTAAGAGGCAAACCAAATAACCGCATAGGATTTTGTTTACTATAATTTCCTGTAGATTTTCCCATAAACCAATCCATCGAACATGAACAAACATGTGAATCTCATCGTTTATAGTATCACCATGACGACTGTGAACCATGCTTGATAATCATTGTCATTGTTATATCTAGCAATTTTATATAGATCTATAGATCTACTGACTGTGAATCATGTTTGATACTATCATTGCATATCATTGGTTTTTAATCATCTACCCTCTGGTAAATGAACAGTTCGAGAAAATCACCAAGTTTTGCGTCTTCACAGGCAGGGTGGTAGACATAATATGATCAATCTAAATCTAGATGAATAGCAGTAGATCAAATTATGTCTATAATATGGACATAATATGGCTATCTGGTTGGTGGTTTGGAACATTTGGATTATTTTTCCATTCAGTTGGGAATTTCATTATCCCAACTGACAAACTCCATCATTTTTCAGAGGGGTAGGTATACCACCAACCAGTATGTTATCCCAACCAGTGATTTTTTGTTGGGTAAATCAACTATAAGTGGGGCCATTTTCAATAGCTATGTAACAAATTACCAGAAGGTATATAATTTAATAGATCATATAGATATGGGGGGTTCCTAAAATGGGGTATCCCTAAATCATTCATGTTAAGTTAAATCATTTTTATAGGATCTATCCGATAATCCATTTTGGGACACCTCCATCTTAGGAAACCTTCATATCGATGGATATATTGACATATAGATGTGTATATATATAATTATAGTAGATTTATAGATACATGGAATATTATATAATTGGTAATGTTATAAGCCATTATACCCTCCATTAACTATAGTTATATCTACCATAAACCATTGTTAAGCCACTTATAAACCAACTTAGCTATCTTGGGGGCCCCATCCTGTAATGGGCTTTAGACATCCCCAATGTAGCCATGCCAAGGCACCACGTCGCGCGACGCCAAGCTGAAGCCCAGCACCGCGGACCATCAGGCGCCACTGGGGGGATCCGGCGGGGATCTGCCGCAGTTAGGGGATGGTTGATATGGATTTTATATGGATTTTATATGGATTTTATATGGATTTTATATGGATTTTATATGGATTTTATATGGATTTTATCTGGATTTTATCTGGATTTTATATGGATTTTATATGGATTTTATCTGGATTTTATCTGGATTTTATATGGATTTTATATGGATTTTATAGGGATTTTATATGGATTTTATATGGATTTTATCTAATTTACTATTGGATTACTAATGATATATGGATTTATGGATATTAGTATCCATAAATCCATATATAATCCAAAAATCCAAATTATGGATATTATTGGATGGATCTATATGGATATAATGATATATATATATATACCAGTGTTATTATGGATGGATTATGGATATTATTGGATGGATCTAATTTATGAATGTATCTCATAACAGTGTTAGTTGCTATGATGAATCTCATTTATGGATATTGGAGCATGGATTTATACATTGTGTTATCTATCCAAATTGGGATGCTAGCAAACATGTCCCACCAAAAAAAGGAGATTGGATCAACTTGTTATGTTGTTATTATGTTTTTTAGCCATATGTTGTTAATTTACGGCATGGGACTTAACTGAACTAACACATTATGACATAGATATTTAAGGAACCAACCATGATTTTGTTTCAACTCAAAAGAAGATCGTATTGGGCGCATAGAATTTGGAAAGGTGTCTAACCACCATGTTTTTCTCCTCTAGCACCACAAAAGATTACTCATTGTGAAGTGAACCAGCTTGGGGGTCATCGCAGAAACTGGAGGTCATCGCAGCTTTACTATTGATATTTGATAGAGTCCTATTTGATATCTAATAGTATCTAATACTATTTGATATAGATTTATGTGTATATATATATATACATGATATTTCCACATATTTCCTCATTGTTGGAATATTCTCCGGAGTTGTCCTAGCGCTGTCAGTTGATTTCATCGCGCTCTGCTACTTGCAGAGAGTTCCTACGCCATGGCGCACGCAGCCAATGGGAAAGGCGCCAGGGTCGCGGTGGACCTGGATTCAATGGGACGTCAACATTCTGAGACTTGGGGCCTAGGGTATACACCAGCCATCAACTCAGGCTTGGGATTCGTATCTGGAAATACAGTAGTGACTGGGGCAAATACAGTCACGACTTTGGCAAATCTACCTGGAAAGGATAGAAATTGAATGTCAGAATTTCCTCAATTTTGGGGAGATTTACCAATTTCCGTCCTCGATATCACTTAAGAGACACAGTAAAAAAAATGCCAAGATTGGATGGAGCCCTCATATCCATCGATGGCATCAAATCTATTCCAATGATCCTAAGGCCTAGACGTACCACAAAAGCAACCGTGGAACTCAAGGGTCCTCTCTGCCTTTGTCTCTACTAATTGCCAGTTGTCAGTTCAATAACTTGAGTCGGACTTGAGTATAGAGACACAGCAGCAGGGAACTAACTGATGACGCGAAAACCTAAATTCTTGGGATGTTGTGGTTGGCAAAGATCTTTTAAGTGTGGGGACCACCCACTGTCAGTCTGCAAGAAAACACCCATATGCCCATATCCCCATAATTCACCCCATTCCCCTCTGTCAGATGGTTTACAGTTACAGGACACATTTATACTCATTTATATACAGGACACACATGTGTCTGGTTGGTGGTTTGGAACATTATTTTTCCATATACTGTATTGGGAATAATAACCTCAACTGACTAATATTTTTCAGAGAGTTCAAACCACCAACCAGGTGTGATCTCAAAACTACCCAAGGGTTTCCTGTAAATTCTGCCATCAACGGATTGATGATTGTGCCAGGGAGAAACCTGTCTCTGCCATGTCTTCCTTCGCACATGAGCCTTGGCCCAGCACTCGCGTCTTGGGGGTGAAATGGATCCCTGAGGTAAGCTAACATGGCTGGCTGGAAAATCCCTTATACATGGAGGTTTTAATGGGACAACTATCAAACTACACTAAATCCGGGATTTCCATTGCCATGTTTGATTACCAGAGGGTTAATCTATTTTGATTCAAGATTGTGTATATATATATGTTATATATATATAACGGTCTTCGGTGGTTGAGTTCAAACCAAAACAAACACACTTTTCAGGAAGAAAGGACACCCGCGGACCGTCGTGTTTCCGTCTTAGTACTGCTTTGTGGTTGAGATGATCCCGCTTGGGTCTGAACATGTGGTATAGCAATGGCTATTCTTAAGACGATGATCAACCGATTTTTGGACAGACTTAAGATCTGATCTTTCAGACAAAGCCACGGCTGACTTTCAGGATTTGTTGGATGTGTTATGGGGGAATTATGGCACCTTTCCAGCCGGATTCAAGGGAACTTAAATGCTTTCTTCGTTCGTCAGATAATTCGATGGGGTCAAAACCAATCAACTTAAGTTATTTCCATTATATAACAAACCATCAATAATATAATATAATATATATATATATAAATAACTATATATATACATTCATACTTAAATTACCCGATTAACCGCCAATCCCTTGGTGTGATGCTTTCCTTGTAAAGAACTTCTCAATCCACCTCAATCCATAAGAATTTTCTGCAGTGGCATCTGGAACTCAACAACTCAGCCCGGACTGAGGGCTACACGATGTCTGGCTCTTAGCATCATGCCTTTTTTATAGGGAAAAGAGAAACCACTGGATATTTGGTGTATATATGGGTGTGTCTTGGATTCGTTCTGGTACTTGTGCTTGTATCATATCTTTATATGGGTATGGATCAATACCTATTAATAGCATTTTTAGGGGAATGAACATCCATAAATCCCAGCTATTTTGATGTGAACTACAGGGGTACAAGGTTTTGACACACTGCCATATAAAATTATATAAATATTCTGGTCTTGACGTAAAAGGACGTACCATTCCATGCCGATGTTTTTCAGTCCTGTCTAGTCATCAGTGGATTCGATCCTTGGTTTACACATGTTTTCCACCCCTTTCCCCCCCCGAAAATCTACATATGTATATATATATATATGTTAGACATATCATATATAATATGTTATGATTAATACTTGTATATACTATTAGATGATCATAATCCCCCACTATTATTAGATGATTAATAATATGGTATATATAATATTAGACACTAAAAAACATGTTATCCCCCATCATGTTCCCATCCCGATGATCCCAAAGCATCGAGGCTCTGGGGCGTCAACTTCTTCAGCAGACGAGGGACGCGAGGGGCACCATGATTTTTTTTGGCAGTTTTAAGCAAGGTCATGGGGCAAGGTCCTATCCTATCATTTGCGTAAATGGTTTCAAATATCTTTGACTGGGGCACTTTGTGAATTTGGAACCATGTTACTGTTAATCCAAGCAAAAAAAATGCTATGAGCAGAACAAAGTGCTACTCGAAGATCCAGGAATAGGGATAGTCTTATGAAACAATGAATGAAAAAAGGCAGCACACGTTACATATACCTTCTGCATTTTTTTGTCAGACACTTGCTGGTCACTGGTTGGGTTGGCATGATGGTGTGTTCTGTGAAGTACCTGATGTACTTTTTGTTCAATCAGTTTGTTTGGGTAGTACTGTAACTGGTAGTATCCACTGATTGTAAGGTCCGGAATGTTGTAGAGAAGGTATCGATTTCAGCAAGCTGCGAAAAGCTGCTTTGTTTTCGCCATGACCAACATTAATGCCGCATATGGAACCAACCTGGAACCGAGCAGCTGTTGGTAAATATCATGGTTGTAACTACCCTTCATAATCAAACACGGCAATTGCAAATCCCCTATACATGGAGGTTTAATGGGAAAAACCATTAAACTAAGTGGTGGATTTTCCAGCAAGCCATGTCTGTTCACTGGAGGGTACAGTAAGTAGTTACCCTGTTAAACCCAATCATCTCCCATTCATATCCATTAATGTCCCCATCATTGGTATCACACAGCTCCATTGTATCATCACCTCAACACCTTCAGAACTGGATCTAGATCAGGAGCCAACGTCCATAGAGGGGCTTTTTTGTGAGGAGCCCAGAGGTTAGTCATCATAGCTCTGATGATCGTGATGATAGCTGTGTTATTGCTGTACTGCCCTTATGGATCTTATGGTTGTCAATTGTCAGTGGTTGTGATGGTTCTGATGGTTATAGTTATATAGTTATTGCGGTTGTTATGATCAGCATGACTATGGTCGTTAACACTATTTTGATGTGGATGAGTCTCATGATAGTCTTGAGGTGCGCCCCTGAAGAGATCCCATGAACGGATGCCTGCGCAATTGCCATGATCGACCGTGGATTCGCAGTGAAATTGGAGCTCTTTTGAACAATCTCAAGCGAAGTTCCAAAGCATCGTGAAAACAAAACATCCTGCAAATGACAATGACTGGTTGGTGGTTTGGAACATGAATTTTATTTTTCCATTCAGTTGGGAATTTCATCATCCCAACTGACGAACTCCATCATATTTTTCAGAGGGGTAGGTATACCACCAACCAGTGATATGTTATCCCAACCCGTGATTTTTTTCTGGGGTAAATCAAATAAGAATGGGCCATTTTCAATAGCTATGTAACAAATTACCAGAGGGTAATGGGCTTTAGACATCTCCAATGTAGCTTCTCCTGCAGCTTCTCCATCTTGGAGCTGTTAGTTTCATTGCGCTTTCCCGCTTCCAGATTTCCAGGTTCTACTGTCTGAGGTAACTCACGACAGTATCACAATGGATCCGCGATATGACTGGATCCAAAATCAATCCACACGCAACCAGAACTCACTGCGATTCCCTTGATTAGATCATCGCACCACAATCCATAGCTTGGCGACAAATCGCGCCGGAACCAACTTGACTTTGCCCAAGCGGCCGTTGGCTGGAAGGTCATAACCAAGTACTGCAAGTCCCTGGAAGCCAGCCAACTTGGTATATTTTGGTGTGGTTTGGTATAATATGCTATATAATTAAACATCAGTTTCCAACATTTGTTGCAAAAATCCATCAAAATCCATGTTTTTTTTTGTGGCGATTTCAGGCCTTGACTCATCGTTGTCCCTTCGAAAGCCACGGGCGATCTGGGCACAGCACTGTAGCCGGCCGCCGCCGAAACCGGCGGGGGCCGAGGATCAGCCATTCGATGCAAAAAGTGAACTGGAGTATTCCCAACATGGCAATGCTCATATTCTATAATTCCCAACATGGCAATTCGATGGAAAAAGTGATGGAAAAGATTAGGAAAGTGTTTTTTATCATCTTTTATCAAGATGGTTTTCGAAACTGAACTTTTTGGGGACCGACGATACCCGATTTTGTTCCTGGAGTTCCCTGTATTGGTAAGGACTCCCCACATCCTCAAGACGATCCTGCCATGTTTTGCACCTTCCGGCGGTGGGTCACCGTTGTTGTGTCCGCTACGAAAACATGGACGTTTTTGAAGATGCACTATTGGTTGGCTCAAGAAAACTCGAAGGTAAATCATATTAAATCATGACTAATCACTTGCAGGAGTGGTTCTGAAACCAGTTGTCATCGTTGTATTTAGACGCTTCAGTGTTCCTGCAAAACTGCATGGCGACGGTTATGCCTGGTAGCCATGGGTCTCAACAGCTTTCATGGCGGCAGAGCTGGCTAGATTCGGTAGCATCGAATACTTATTATGATTTATGACAGTTGCTTCAAAGTAGAGATAGATAACTGGTTGGTGGTTTGGAACATGGCTTTTATTTTTCCATATATTGGGAATGTCATCATTCCAACTGACGAACTCCATCATTTTTCAGAGGGGTAGAGCTCAACCACCAACCAGATAATGATGTTTCAGGATAAGTTTGGCACCCAGCTTGTGCATGTTTGACGCAGTCCCATGGCGGAGATGGGACAGCCATGAGTGAGGAGGACGGCTCCCCCCCAAAAAAAATTGAACCTTCTTCTCAAAGTACAGGTCCTTAAAGTACCACAAACTTGTAAGATACCCAAGTTGGAAGTCCACCCATTTTTCGGCTGAAAATGTCCCTGCCGCGCAACAGCAAGGTGCTGCAGCGCGTGGAGCAGTTGCGGAAAGAGAACTTGCGGCTGCGAGCGCAATGCGCAGACAAGGTGCAGCCACTGGGGCGGGGGGCCAGGACACTTATAAGATCTTATAAGGCTTAATCTTAACCCATATCATAAGATTTGATAGCATGATATTACTGTAATGGCATGGGATGTTACTGTAATGATAATGGGATAGTACTTGAGTCAACCCAAGATTAATACCCCCCCAAGTTTATGAGTAGAGGGGTACGAGTTTGAATAGTAATGTGGAAAACTATTTGGGGGGGAACCCCCCAATCAATGGTTAGGGTCTATTAATCCGGAGTTGGCATATGAACCACCCCAAAGTTGAATCTGTTGTGATTCTGACATCAGATATGATTGAAGAATACAATATTGTGTGTATAAATTGTGTACACAATATTATGTGTATAATATACATATATCATACAGTATAAGTTATATTTTTAAATGATATACAGTGAGTGTGCCGGGCCAGTGTTTCTTCTGGAGAATCCAGGTTTTGGGGGAAGCAGGTCAAACCCCACCAACAAAACGGGAGGAGACAAACAACCATTGGAGAAGACGGGATGTAAATGATACAACATGTAGAAGATGCAGTAGTTTTGACTATACTCAACTTTACAGCTCGGTTTTTTTGAATTGTAAATTCAGCGGGTAGGAAGGCCCTCCTACGGTGCATTCCCATCATTCCCCGTGCTTTGAATCCAGATTATATAGAAGTTTCTTACTTTCAAAACATTTGGGTTTCTCTGAAAATAGGGGTACCCCATAAATTGATGGTTTACCATTACTATATTATATATTCCTCAATTAACAAACATTCGGGGTATACCGTATACCCCATTTTTGATCTCATTTTACTGTATGAATGTTAGCCCCCATTTGTTCATGGAGAAGGTTTCACCAGGATGATCATTGAAGACAGAAAGCTACTCTCCAAGCGCCACTGAGCAGGTCGGTAAGATCGGTGCATTTTTGTTTCGCGTTTTGCGCTTAAATGAGTTGTAAAAAACATGCTAGCCATCAACCATCAACCTTAGATTCCTAACATTTAAGTTCTATGTTCGGGTAAACCCCCACATATCCCCAACAAAATCCTTATTGTGCTTGACATTTACAGCTTGATATTTACTAACCATCAATTAATCACAATTATACATCTGTGTGCTTTACATTTTTACATATGTTTACGTATTTTTACTAACCATCAACATTAAGTGGTTATAACATGTTACAACACCATTGGGCTTCCTACAATTTATACCGATGATCCTCATAGTTTCCTGGTTAGATCCTCATAGTATCCGTTATCCCCACAATTTGCCCAAGCCCACATGAGCCACCGCAAAACCTCCGGCAAGGGCTCATACCCTCCGGTAAAGATAAACATACTTGTAGCTATTGAACATGGCCATCGAAATGGTGGATTTATCCATTAAAAATGGTGATTTTCCATAGTTATGTTAGTTTACCAGAGGGTATAATATTTATATATATATATATATTAATAAATTGATGTTTGAAATTCCACCCATTGATGGTAAGTTGGGCTGGATCTTAATGGATCCTATCTGTCCACTCCAGGAGTTTGAATCCGGGCAGCTGGAGAAGCAGCTGAGGCGCCTGGAGCGAAAGATTGCGGCGCCTCGGATGCGCTTCGTAAACGGAGGATGGGGACTTTGTCAAGCTTTGGGACCTGGATACTTACCCTCTGGTTATGTCAAAATAGCTATTGAAAATGGCCAATTTAATAGTGGATTTTCCCATGAAAAATGGTGATTTTCCATAGTTAGGTTAGTTTACCAGAGGGTACTTAAAGACACTTATAGATATTTATAGAATCTTATAGAATCTTATAGATACTTTAGTCTTTTGCTATCAATGGTGACATCTACATTCACCATGGGTTTCCAATGAAGTTAGACACCATCCAATGATTGGGATACCCATTTTTCGTGGCTTTGGAAACGAACGAAAAAACCAAGAAGTATGGTGCATAGAATGATATGAAATTATAGAAAAGTGTGAGAAGTATTGGAATTTACTATAGAAAAGTGTGAGAAGTGTTGGAATTTGCCAGATGGGTATAAAGAGTACTTAAAGGTATCGATCTCTTGCTTATTGACATTTTGATGGATTTAGGGATCGAATTGTGTTCGGTATACGATACCATATCCATAGCATATCCCACAGTGGCAACCGGGGTTGACCGAAAAAAACCTCGCCGAGAATGATGATCTGGCAATCCCTCGGAACATCATGGGGTGTCACAGGTGGTCGATGAAACATACACACGATTTGATGTTCACCTATATATACCCTCTGGTAATTTAACATAGGCTATTGAACATGGTCATTTTTAAATTTTTAATGGGAAAACTCACTCTAAATGGCCATTTTCAATAGCTATGTTAAATTACCAGAGGGTACTAGAAGTGAACCAAGCGTGTTTCAGCTTCCCCTTCCGATATTTGATATTTTGAGAGATAGCAACCAAGTCTTGCATGCCCAGCAATATGCATGAATATGCTCTTTCCATCCACCACTGCAGAAGCATGCCGTGGCTGCCATATAGGTACATATCCTTATATTCTCTAGTCATGTTGACATGACACCCCTGGCAATTTCTTTTTGCTGGGATATATCATGATATATCTCATTGGCAGATTGGAATATATCCAGGACCATTTTTTCCCATTGCCACCCAAGAAATTCTTAGGCCTTTGATGCTCCAGCGAGGAGCTTGGCGAAAGGCCAGCGAAACCTCGCGGGAGAGGTTTGCCATTTTGGTTACTGTCCCTGAGAAACTGAAGATGGATATGGATGGAATAAAGGCGGCAACAGAATAACATGTAATAACCATAATATCCTACTGTAGTAGTTCATATAATAACCATAATAATACATGTAATAACCATAATAACCAGAATAACATTATATAATAACATATAATAACCATAGGTAAAATCATAGTCTGTAGTAGTTCATGACTTTTGCGTGGTGTTTTTTCTTGTGTCTTTTAAAGCACTTGTAATCTGGATATGGGATCACCAGGTGGCACGGTTAGCGAAGCCCCAGCCACGCTTGCTTGGCCACACGATTTTTCGCACAAGGGTGTGTCTGAAAATATAAGAGAAACGCCCATTCCATTATGGTATATCAATATCAATATATATATATATATTATGATTATATATGTATATGTATATATATATATCAATATATATAATATATATATATATATATTATGTAATATTCTTGAGGTGTAAGCCGTTTTCAGACACGCCGGAACATATCTTATTTGTTGGCGAATGTTGTATCCTATCAAACATCCTCCATTCCCGTTAATTTGTTCCCGTTAAATCAAGTGGTTTGAGGTTGAAGGCTGCAAATCAGCAACGGTATCGAAAAGGAGTGGTTGCTCTTACGGCCCCAATCATCATTGGTTCCCGAAGATCAAGAGATCTGAAGATCCTCAAGATAGCGGATTTGGGGGGGGTGCAAGATTTTTCAAACATGTTTAGTTGCTCAGTTACCTGAGTTGATTCTGAATATGTGATATATGTGCAGCATTTGTTCCAGGTTTGCTGCTTCGATCCTAATTGTTTCTGGCTCATCAGTCTTGTTCACTTGTGTTCTTCGTGACCCGAAGTGTTGGAAAGAACCTTTTTTTAAAGTCATCTCATTTGTCAGGAGTTGCAACCCACTTTCTAGCAGACCAACTTGGGACGAAGTCATACTTACGGGCAGGGGGTCGCGACCCTGGTACCCTGCTGTTCACACCAAAACTGTTTGTAGTCATGAATGTTCATCCCCCAAAAGATGGTTTTGACATGCAAAATTGACCCATTTCATATCCAGGATCCCAGTGCTGTGAGGCTTCTTGAAGAGCGATACAAAGGATGTCGCGGAGGTTTGGGCCATTGGGGTTCAGGTTTGGGATCTAGTGGAGGTCCATCAAGGGCTTTTTTAATCTTTTTTAGACATGTGCCAAAGCTGCGGTACGTGACACAAGAAGAGGATGGTTTCTAGAATAGATGAGCCACTGAGAGTGGAACTTGAGGGCAAAAAGGTGCCAAAAGGGGGGTTCAAGGTGCTGCATGTTTATGCGGTGCTTGCTATGCCGTGTCTCACTGTGCATGTTCACTGGTCTCTTGCCTGTGTGGATATGAGGCAACACATTCAGTGTTGGTGTTCTTTCTGCAACGGGGCCAACCGCTGTTGAGGTTAGAATCTTGGTTTGAATTCTTTGAGTTCTGAAATTAGGATAGATTCAGCACTATTTCACTATTCATCCCTTTTCCCGTGCTTGGACATCAACATCATTTGTTTTGTCCGGAGACCCAGAGTTTTGAGGTATGCATCGTCGCCAGCATTTTTGAGAAGAGCTTGAGACAGCTTGGAGCAAGTGAGTTTTCACAGAGGCACAGGTGCTACTGTGCCCAGCTATTTTGGCTCAGCGCCTTCCCAATCCCGATGGATCCATCGAATCCAACAAGAGTCGATTGAATGGCTGCTGCGGGGCTCCAAGTACCCCCAATGTTTGTGGCATTGCCCATCACCACGGGGTTGTCATGGCGCATGGAACAGGGTCTCAGCCACGTTACCTCAAATTGGACTTTGGCAAAGATGGTTTGGACATTGAAATGAAGGACTGCTTTCCAGACATTCAGGGCCTCGTGAACTGGAGTGACCAAATGGAGTATCGCTGCTCAGAGATTGCTCCGCAGCATGGTCGTCCAAAGCGGTTCTTAGATTTGCTTGAAAACCTACAAGGGTATCGGCTATCACATGGTGAAATGGAACTGCAAAAGCTTTGCTCAGCAGTGATGTGGCAATACTTCGTCCCCCAAGATGTTGAGTGCCTGCCAGATCCCATCTTCCCAATGCTCTTGGCTGATGGCGACTCTGAATCCACTTCGTCCATCCCACCGACACACGACGACAAAGCTGGTGATGATGGCGATGTGTCTACTAAGGCCTCACTCAGCCCATCTGAGCCTGCTAACGATGCTGGCAAGAGTAGCTGCTCTCTGATGTAGACTTCAGTCTTTGCAACCTATATGACTTAATACATTTCAAAGCTAAAAGGTCAGTCAATCATTATGATAGATCAATTCATAATTCTTAGATGCAGGAAATTGAATTGGTTGAGTTGGGAGTTTTCAATCAAGACATCTTCGGGTTCCAATCCTCAAATCTGCATCTCTAGAGCCGATATGGCGATTGAGACTGGCACTCGCACAGGTCAGCCCTCGAAAAAAAAAAAAAACATGTGCGAAAGGCTTGAGAAAAACATGAAAAAGAACTGGGGATGGGTCAAAACCCTGCACCCCTGGTGAACCCCAAAATAGCTGGTAAATGGATGTTCATCCCACTAAAAATGGTATTAATAGGTATTGATCCATTCCCAACTATGAAGTTATGAAGAAGCGACATGCTTTACGACCGCTGCACTTTTCATGGCACATCAGTTGCCCTCTGCCTTTCACAGACCTTCGCTCTGAGGTCCTGAAGTCATCAATGACTACGGCCAGGGGTGATGCCATAAGACGTCCCTACATCCGGTGGTTAAGAGGGAGCGATTCGGATCTATGGCTATTCAATGCTATTCATATTCCATCATATTCCCTATTGAATCGGGAGCTAAGGAGCTAAGAGTTTCTCAACCAGATGATAAAGCATGAGACTGCACCTTTCTTTCCAGCAAGTACTGTATGTGCTCTTCGGTCAGCTACTTAGACTGAGTCATGACTTACATTGCACTGGCAAATGATAATGCAGATGGGCCACCACTATCCTCCACTGATTTCATATAAATATATAAGTGGTTGCTGGGTTATGCTATAAGTATAAAATGAATATATACTAATTATAAGTGCCATATTGACATTGTTACACGTTATATGATGTTAATCCATGATGTTATGTCTGAATTTGCCAGGCCAACAGCGGCAGCGCAAAGCCGCCGCCAAGGCCCAAGCTCAACGCCGCAAGCCGGACAGGCGGAGCCGCTGGCAATATGGTGGTTTCATATGGAGGTTTCCTAAACATGTCCAAAAATGGAGGTAATTATCTCCAAATCATCCAAATATTAGAGGATTTTAGTGTTTTTTCATATTGAAACCCATGGTGAGTTGTTTTTTTTAAATCATTTTTAGAAACCCCCAACATGAATCCTCATGAAAAATGGTGATTTTGTTTGCCAACACAATATCACATGAAATACCCCAATAAAAAGGGCCCCTAAAGTCAACAAATCCACGACATTCCATCAGGGGATGCTTCAAAACCATGGTCATCATGATCTGAACAGATTTAGACGTTGAGTTACCTGGGGATCTGGCCAAACGGTGGCAAGCATTAAACAAACAACATTGAATCCAATCGTGCCATTAGGGGCCCTGTCCCACCATCTTGCATATGTGCTGGTTATGTTGCAAGATTTGATTCCCGGATTCCCCCTATGCATGACTTTACAGCTAAGGAAACTCCAGGGAACCGTGATTTTTGTTCGCCACCCCTGCTGGCCCACACTTAGTTGATCTGCAGGAACTATATAATTAATGGAAAACCAAGCGTTTCTTGCCAATCCAACTATCAGGTCCTTTAGGAAAAAAAATATATATCCATGAAATCAAAGCTTTTCTGGCACACTGGGATCAAAGTTTGGCAGGATCAATGTTTGGGACTTCTTTATCCATCTTTTGGGTTGCACAAATCCCACTATAAAAATCACCATGTTTTCAGCCAGTTCAGCCATGATTTTTCTTCGTGAAACCATGATTTTTCTTGGTCAACTCCCCAGCAATCCCCAGCACTCCATCAGCTTCCAGGCTACCCCAGTGGCATCATCATCGATGGCGTCACGGGTGAGGAGGTCGACCCCAAGAGCTGGCAGGAGCCCAGAGCTGGTCCAACTATTGGGAAACATCCAATATCAATGGAATTTCTTTCGGATAATGGGATTTATTTGGGAGAATTTATGTCGGATATGAATGGAATCTATTTGGGATATGAATGGGATTTAATGGGATATAACCCATCAACAAAAATGATATTTGACGTTGAAAATGGCTCAAACTACCCTCTGGTAATTTAACATAGCTATTGAACATGGCCATTTATAGTGAGTTTTCCCATTAAAAATGGTGATTTTCCATAGTTATGGGACAGTTTACCAGAGGGTACTCCTAGTTTCTGATGGGATCATGCAGAACCACACCAGGAGCCCGAGGCCCTCAGCGCGAACGGCCTCCCGGCGCTGCGGCTGATGCACGCCATGCGGAGTCCGCCGGAGCTGAACGCGGAGTTTGGGGGGCCCAGCAGAGAAAACCTTGGGATACTCCAATGTTTATGAATATTGATGGAATATTCAAACCAATTATGACATTTGGAAATCGATGGATATATATATATATTATATTATATATTATATATTATATATTATATATAATATATATTATATATTATATATTATATATTATATATTATATATTATATATATATTATATTATATATATATTATTATATAAATATTATATTATATTATATTATATTTTATTATATTATATATTATAAATATATTATATTATATATATAATATATTATATATATATATTATATTATATATTATATATTATATAATATATATATATATTATATATATCAACACGAATGATCCATGAGTATTATACATGCATTAAGTTCCATGAATATTAAACACTATACAAACTCAGAATATCATATTCATATTTCCAAGGTAACAAGAAAGTCCAAAGTGGGTAAGATTCCAAGCTTTAGGTTCAGAAAAGCTTGGATGGAAAGCACGGCTCAAGGGTTAAAGCCCACAAGCGATCCTGAAATCCGTTGAGATGACCCAAGATATTGACGCACATTGTGCAGGAATTGGCCACCAAGCTTAGCTTGACTGCACAACCTAGGCCTTCAGTATATGATATGTACATATGTTTTAGCCATGCATCCAGTCCTTCAATCTCAAAGCTCCTGGCTTTGTCCAAAAAGTGGCTGTCCCATATTATGGGGTCCCATAACCATCCATAACCGCCATCTTGTGATATCTTCTGACAGTTTTAGTCGAAAAATGCGATAAGCCACTGCCCACTGCATCTGATCGGATGCCAAAGGTTCGACACGGAACGATACGCAAAGCTCTTAGGCCTGATGCGGGGCGGACCTAGCGGATGCTGGGTATATGGAACCAATATATATATATATATATCCCATGACGGATCCATGTATGGTACAGTATATATGCTAAGATAAATGGGGTATATTGATGGGATCCATGCTAGCATATATAGCAGCACCATGGATCCTATGGGTATAATTATATACATATATACATATATAGATATATATATATATATATATACATACGTACTATATTAACTATATATATATTATATGATGATACGGAAGCATCATGAACCATCAGTCATAGTGCTGGGAATGTCGCCTGCTGACATGGAATGATTGGGAGCCACAAGCAACCAAGGAAGCCCATGGAAGACCTTGGCATGTGATTGGTTTTCATAAAAATGGACATGTTGAAACATCTACCAGTTGTTTACCATTGCACATATTTCTGAACTTCTGTGGTTTTGGTCAGAACTATAAAATGCTAATCTATAACTATAACATACTATGATAGATGTGTCATAACATACTATATCTAATAATAGTAGCTATAATCAGTATTTCAGACCTTTGCCTACTGACATCCAGGTGAAGGTAAACAGGCAGAAGCCGAGGCGCGAGCGTTGCAGTTATGTACCATGTCCCCTTGAATTTCAACATCGATAGATACGTAGGTACCAGGTAGTTATATGGCTAGATGGAATATTTAGATGGAGAATGGGAATAACATGAATTCATAGATAGAATTAGATAGGTATGTAGATATAAATGATATGAAACATTTGGTACGCTGTCTTCGGACAGCCGCATATTCGTTACCGGGTGAACTTGCCTTGTGAGGTTGGGAAACATCATATGGCCACGGCTCAAAATGACTCGAAAATCACCATTTGTTTATCATCCATAAACGGATCATTTTCCATGGCTATGTTAAATAACCAGATGGTATTGGAAGAAGCGCATAGTTTTCCAAAACAAATGGCAACACAATGATAGGGAAGAACATTTGGAACAACTGATCCATTCATTTATTTTTGAGATGCCTGGGCTCTGTGTCCCTTGGTGCAGGCACTAATCCAAGCGGAAGGTGGTCCCACCTTAAAGCAGATGCAGCAAGAGCCATTGGAAGTGCTAAGGCCGCTGGGAAGCGAACAGCTGCCCATCAGCAAAAGTAGTTTCAACAGATATGAGGTCTTGTTGGGATGAATCGAGGCCTGATTGGCCTAGATGGGTTTGTTTTGAAACCCTGAGATCTCTTTGGAATTTCTTGATAGATGTTAAACATAGCGGATGCTTGAGGTTTGGAGGATATTTGCTCGGCAAGTTGTAGCCACTTCACAACGACGTCATGGCAAATTCTGATCGAAACCAACAAAGAATAGTTATGCAAACTGTTATGTTTTTTTCAGGTTTGGGAAGTATGATAGTTTCCCCAGATATTGTTACTTTCAGATCTTGATTAAATAATCTGGTTGGTGGTTTGGAACATGTTTATTTTCCATAATAATTATATGGGAGAATCCTTCCCATTGACAAATATTTTTCAGAGGGGTAGGTATACCACCAACCAGTAATTATAAGCCTTCTATTTTTTACGGTTTCACATCGAACGGTCTCCATGTCGGAGGCAGTGTCCCGAGCTGGACGTGAATTGGAGCGACCCCGCAATGCACGGATGTTCGCTGTTGCAGTATGCTTGCTCCATGGGTCTGTTCCTCAGCTCCGTCGGAGTTCACCGTGGAAGGTCATTGAAAAAGAACGGCACTAGTGGTTGGATAACCTTAAATGTGAACTCAACTGTTGAAATACCTAAATCATATCCTGGGTGAATGGTTATTTAACATAGCTAGGGCCCATCCAATGATGATTTACCCCTTTACTATGATGATATTTAACCGTTAAACAATGATTATACCAATGATTATACCATGATCCAATCATGATAATGATAACTTGATTAACGATTGGCATTAAACCATATATATTTCACCATTTAACCAATCATTCACCATATATTTCAGCATTTCACCATATATTTCACCATTTAACCAATCATTCTACCTTGATTCACTGGTGATTTCTCTGGTTTCCAAGGCTATGAGGACGTGACCCAGGAACTCCTTCAGCGTCGCGCCGATGCGTCGCACCAGAGCCACCAAGGGGTGTCCTGTCTGGCCACGGTACCTCGGCTGTCAGCCATGAAATCCAGGGGAGATACAGCTATTAGTATATAATATCTCCTATATAATATCTATAGGTTATATAATATACACTAAATCTATTGTTTATAGGTTGTAGATGTATAATATATGACACTATTAATTACCGCTGTTTTTTTTATGTAAATGATTGTAGATGTATATATTATATGATTATAACGAATATAGTGTATAATATGTAGATGTATATGATTATATTATATATATTATGTTTTGTTGTCCATTTGTGTTGTACATTCGTGTCATTTGGGTCCGTGGTTCCAAGATGAGATTTGACGAAGATAGCGCCCAGAATCGCAGGCAAAAGGGGAATCCACGCAATGATAGTACGATATGAGTGCCATATTGTGCTATGGTCAAAACATGTCAAAACATGTCAAAACATGTTTTATTTTCCCACACAAAAAGGTCATTCCCCCATTGATGGGGTTCATATAAAGGCATCCCAAACTATGGCTGAGATTCACTGGGATTGGGACCCGTTACCCCTATCCATGCCGGAATGACCATCCTCTTTTGTGGAGAAATAAACCAGCTTTTGAGACGGGGCTTACGGATCCAACGTCCACGGTCATCGAACCCCACGCACAGGTGGCGGGAATCAGTGACCAATTGCTGTGAGAAAAGCTGAATTAACCACCGCCAGCAGCCCTGGCTTTCCTCAATCTCTTTATCAACGAGCTGTAATTGTTGAACAAGTTGAACCTCTCCTGAACTGAAAGTTCTTCCATCATCTCAAAAGTCATTGTAGGCACAATGTCAGGTTGAAACTTTTTTTCTTTGTTGAGGACTCCACCACCATTCAAAGCATCAATATGTAGTCCCATACATGGTTTGTAGATTTGTTTCGTGTGGCTGTTGTATGGCTGGAAGTTTGGGCCCCTTTAAGGCACACAAAAGCGACCGGTCTGGGAGAAAACCTAGACGTTTCAGAGAATTGTATTTGTTGTTCGAAAACTTTGGCATGAGCACTGTCTCGGTTTGTAAAAAAATGGTAACACAGATTTTCTGGAGAAAAAATGTTGTTCTTTCCTTGTAGCACTGTGGACAGAGACCCGCACTGCAGTTCTACGATTTTTCAGGTGGAAAAAACCACCAGTTCCTGAACGACCGGAAATTGATATGGCGCACTTCATGATATGGCAATTCTCACATTTGTTGTGGTTCTGATTGCCGTCATCCATATTGGATCTCCATTGTCCATACGACCATTCATTCTATGGAGAGCAATGTAGATCTCTCTAAGATAATATAGCTGCAATACTATATACATATATGTATATATATATCCCATAGGATCCATGTATGCTATATATAGTAACATTTACGATCAATATACCCACCCAATGTTAGCATATATACCAGCACCATGGATCCTATGGGTATATATATATATATACTTATATATATATATACTTATATATATATATACATATTACATTATATTAGCATGTGTTAGTTATTCCAATCATTACCCATTACATCTTAAATGGTCATAGCATTTTCCATTGTGGTCTAGCCATTCGATCCAGGCCTTAGCTCACAGTTGGCCCAGTTGCGGCGCTCAGTTGCTGGCCGCCAGAGCGGATGCCAACGAAAAGGTGGACTCCGAAGGGCACCGGACGATGGAAAAACATGGGGAAAACACCGGAGATTCCAAAAAGCAGCTGGTGATCGAGTTCGGTATTGATTTGGGGAAAAACATCTTGAGATTTGAGGATTCAACACCTATTTTTTTTAATCATTGTCAAACTATTGTAAATACTGAGGTTTTGAGGCACATATCATAGTTTGTCGATGGTTAGGGCTGGGGTGGAAGATTCTCGACCAAGAAGTGTTTGTGAAACCAATCAGTGATTCTACACCAATTCTCGGTTAACTAACATCAGGGAAAACAAGACAAGGAAAAAAATGATGCTAGTTTTTTTTTGTTCTAAAACACCTGGCCCCCTCGTTTTACTGCTATTACTGCTACTATTACTCCCACTTCTACTGCTTCTTCTACTTCTTCTTCTACTTCTACTGTTACTTCATGTTACTTCTACTTGTAATAGTACAACGAGCAGCATTTTCTACTGGATGTTATCAAAGAGCGAACATTTTCACAACCGATAGGGGACGACCCAGTTTTGCCCGTGGCAACTACGGGGAACAAATAATTTTGTCCGCCACTCATATAATTATGGATCTAGGTGTGAGCGTTGGAGATCACTTTATACAATTATACACGCAGTTGTTAAGTGTTTTCGGATGATTCATCCATGCGCCTGTTCTGTTCAGTGCTTGGAAGACAATCTTCCGTTTTGTCTTCACAAGAAACATTGTTTCTTTAGGGGATCATTCGGGATTCCAAAAATGCTAGAAGCACCCGGGCCTGTAGCATTTTCTGGGGCAGCAAGACAAGTAGTTTCCTTCACTGGTTCTTTAAAACATTGCTAAGTTCATCCTCTCCAAGTAGGGACAACCTTTTTGTTTTGAACCAACAATTGACATCATTTAACATCATTTAACATGATTTCAACATGATAAATCCATCATAAATCCATCATAAATCCTACATCCCCCCCGACAATGGATCCCCGTTGTTTTTCAGAAATCCACAGGCAGATCCCACGGGCAAGCAGACCTTGCTGATGTGGGCCTCGCGGATTGACTATGTCGACAAGGCGCTTCGCATTAAGCAGTTAATGAATGGGTAAACACCGGCAAAATATGGAAAAATGGTTAAAGATGACATTGTTTTAATAGCATCTATTGAAATATTTGAAATAGATGACACCTTGTTCAAAGAAGTCAGCACCAAGATGTCTCTGTCTTGTTTTGGATGCTTTCGAAATTGTGAACGGATGTCGAAACAAGTACTATATATCTGAATGCATGATTATATCAGGATCACTCATAAGATCGTCTACAAATTTGAAAAGGCCTCAAAGGGTCAACCCTACAAGAGTGGCCTTTTCCAGCACACACCACAAATGCCAAGTCGTTTCCCGACGAATTGGATTTGTCAATCACAGGGTATGTTCAAATTCAGTGGTTTCTTCATCATGATCATGGACATAAAGAGACCTAAAGTACTCCATTTCTGGTTGTATCATGTACAGTACATGATTCAGAGGTTTTGATGAAGGGTTCCGTAGCTTCTAAATTCTAGTATGGGTCTGTCTCAATCCCCGGCGACAGAATTTCAATGGCATGGCATCTCAGATGGAGCCTTCCTCGACAACAAAGCCCCCATTGTTGTTAGTTAAATTTCCGAGGATGGCCGCGATGTGCCAAGTCCTTTGGTGTCGCTGCTATTGACCCATCGCGCCGACGTCCATGCGGCGGACGCACGTGGCAAGACGCCCCTGATGCATGTTGGGAAAGCTCAGCATGACACCATTGGGTTTCTCGGAAAATTTGGGGAAGACATCTAAATCCATTGGCTGATCATCGCTTTCCCATATTTTCAACGGCTACTTGTGGGGTATACTTATCACAATTTCAGTCCCAACCAATTGTTCAGCAAACACAATGACGCGCCAGAAATCAAACATGGCTGGCTGGAAAATCCCTGAACTTAATATATATATATATATAAATAGATAATACATAGATATGAATGGGCTTTTACCGGGAAAAACTTCAAGCTAAATGGAGGACTTTCCAGCTAGCCATGGAGCTGATTGCCGGAAGGTATGGTGGTTTATTGGGGGACCTTTTTTTTACTCCCATTTGTTGGGGTTATCACGATGGATGATCAAAACCAGCAGAAAATGTCACCAGGTGTTGTAGGATGGAACATGATCTAGCCCTGGAAGCTGAAAGGAAGACAAAACTTGACCCAAAGTCCTTGCTTTTGAGGCGATAAGGCTGGTTTGTATGTAACTGGGTATTGTTTGAGTGGAAAGCAGCCAACTCGCAAACGTGGGCATTGGACTCACAAGCAACGGAAAGTACGGATGACGACCTGGCGGCTCGTCACCCTGTTCCGACGTTCCGGCAGCTGCAGCCCACCTTCACCCGTTGCTGTTGAGAATCTGATGGCTTGCTTGGATATCAAGTTCCAGTTGTTCAATGACAGAAGGATACACAAGTCCATACAGCCACGACAGTAAATTCAGTAAATCCTTCGAAGTTGAAGTCGACGTATACATATAGTATCACATAGTACTTTGAAACTTCGTGAGGCAAGACCTGCTGCAACCACTATAGCTATGCAGATGACAGACAGAGAAAATCGCAAGAACCACATCAGCTCTTTTTGGCATCCCAAAGATGTCTAGACCTGCTGCCATCGACAAGAAACTTGGCTGCAGTGGCTGGTGGCATGTCGGGCACACCATTCTATAATGGTGATATAAGATGATATAAGTATACAAAATTGTACATAGAATACTTTGTCATGTCATCATTCAAGATTTCTCGGACAGGTGTAGACGGATGGAACGTGTTTGAAACAAAACGCTCGTGGAGTTGTCCATTTGTGTCCTCTCCCGCAGCATCCCGCAGCACATCTGCAGATTCATTTTAAGGATTTGCAACTATTTCAACATATTTCAACTTAGCTAGACTCTATTTCATGATATGGTCATATATGGTCGGTATGGTCAAGCGGATGTTGTGGATGACTCGAGCTCGACCGTTACAACACCGCCGGAGGTATGGCAAGCTGGGCGATATGGCCTTCAATCGCATGGAAAAGGCCGATAAAAAAACGCACAGTTTCATCTTGTTGAAGGAAGATTACTATAGGTTGCTTTTTCCATGATAGTGATCTGGTAGTGTTGATATGTGTTGATGTTTCATAATGTTTCTAAGAATAGAATCCACATATAGAATACACTCATGCCATCCAATACTCCCTGTTGGTTGATTTCTGTTGGACATCATCCCTAAGCAGGGTCCAAAAAAGTCGTCTGCACGATGCTCCTTTCAACGAATCGGAAAAGGAATTCTAGCTGCCTCAGGAAAAAAACAGGATGTAAATGTAATATAATATAATATAATTATACAGAATTATACATAACTATATACAATTATATATAATTCTATAATAGTTATATATATATAGTATATAAACCACAATTTTCCCGTAACTAAACCAGTCGAATACAGAGAAATTGTTGCAAGCTTTAAAAAAACATATCAGGATACCGCGCCTTCAACGATTTTGCAGAAAAGAAACGGGACAGGTCAATGCAGATCTCTTTGTGTTGACCTATGGTTCCTTGGTCACTCAGCTCTTGCGCGACATCGAAGATGTGGACGCGGTGAACGCGCAGCAGCTGGGTTGATAAGCCACGGATCCAGTCATGGTGGTCATATCTCTGAGGTGTCTCCCTTTACCGTTGGTGATCGTTGGTGCCACTCGTTTACCCATACCAATTGGGTATTAAAAACAATAAACACCATATGGCCATATGATATCATATGTCCACATATGCTGAATATGTTTTGAATGTCATATTCAGCACAGATTTACCAGAGAATATTTTTTCCATAGTGTTTGAGCATGTATTTTCCATATATTTACCTTGTTTTTTGTCATATGATGTTTCCCCTGTGGTCTTTCTTATTCCTTATCTTCCCAGGCTAGAGAAGATGGGTTACAACATCGGGCTCCGGTTGATTGACGAGTTCCTCAGCAAGAGCGGCATCAACGCCTGTCAGGACTTTCGGGATACCTGCGAGGTGATTGCGAAGGTCGGAGGATGATGGATGATGAGGGGGCGACTGGGAAGCGGAGACGCTTTGGAATATCTGGTTTAAAAACCTACCCATTATTCATTTATATATCAACCATATATAGCTGATATATTTACCATAGGTTTATAAACAAGATGATATATCTATTCCTGCTTGGTGGTGACTGGAACATGGCTTTTATGACTGCCCATATATTGATAAATGTCATCATCCCAGATGACGAACTCATATTGTTCAGAGGGGTAGGTATACCACCAACCAGTAATTCATGAATATACGTAGTATTGATCTGTGAGTATAACATAGTATTATACTGCTTGTATTGATCTGTGAGTATAAGCGTATTGATATGCATCGAACCCCGGGAACCCCCAAGAGGGCGATTCCCATGTCCGAACGTCGAACGTAACCAGGTGGGTTTGAGAATGTTCCTGGGCGTCAGCGGTGAGGTGGTGATGTGGAACAAAGTGCCTTGGCCCCATTTTCCAACCAATGTTGCATGGTTTTATTCAATGTTGTATGCTACATATCTAATATTATCTAATCATATCTACATACATAGGTATTGTATGAACTATATTATTGAATCGCATTTATAGTTCACAACTATCGTTGGTTCTTCCAAAGATTGTTTCTTTCCATCCCTGCGATGACGATTCCACTGATGTCTCCCGTGATCAAAGATGGCTCGCAAATCCCTGAACCAAATGGAGGCCACTGGAGGTATTAACCACTACATATTCCATTTATATTCACATTAATATCCCCACTATAATTTGCATAACTATGCACATTTGAATATAGCAAACCCCAACCGGTTAGAACAGTAAAATCTGATTCTAAATAGAAAAGAGAACTACTTTTCGATTTCTTTTGGGGGGTGCGTTAAGTCCAATTAAGTGCCGCCTGGAAAACCAACATAGTCATGGAAAATCCATCCTCATTTATAGAAATCTATAGATGATTTAGCTACCAGTACAGAAAATTCTGATTTTCCATAGCCTAGCTTTGTTAACTAAGGAGATGACAGCCTGCTCCCTGGTCTTGCCCGAAAACCCCTTGGCCGAATATGTCGAGTTGCCCGCCAACCTCACGAACCGCCTGCGCCTTGGTTTTCCGCAAAAATGGCGGTGGTTGATTGGTGGTCAATTTTGGGCACCAGATTTTCCGGTGCACCAGATTTGTTTGTTGATTTTGTTGATTGTCCCTTGCTGGAGATGACTAGGTTGCAAGCTGCAAGTGCAAATATCTTCCCGTCTTCCTAGATGTACAGTAGCAGTAGAGGTTCAGTCAGTTGAACCAGTTGAACCTCTAATTTCTCTTGGTAAAGTACCCAGTATTCTGGATTCCCCTTTTTAGTGGTTGTTGGTCCTCAAAAAGCTCTTAAGAAATCAATTTTAAGTCCTAAGTTGTGGGTTACCCATTAATAAACATTCATAGCTTCATAGCCATTTATAACCATTAACGAAAAACCATTAACAAATAACCATTATTAATTAAAGGGCTACGCCCTCTGCCGCCGACCCCTGGACACTGGAGGGTCATGCCTGCCTCTGTGTCGTAAGCATGAAATGAACCCTAAAGAAACCAGAAACTGACCTAAACAAACCATTTGTATGTGCGTTTGGCACTGTGCACATGCAAGCAGCATGGACCCCTGCAGGATGACACGCACAACTATGTGCTCTGACACTTTTTCATGGCTCAAGAAATAGGAGCTTTCGTCATTGGGCAGGTGTCTTGGGGACCTAAAGGGTTGCTCTAGCACTTAAGACCCATACCCGAAGCCCCCGTTCGTAACCGCAGTATGAAACTTTAAATGGCATCCTAAAGAGACCCGAGACGACACTGCACTGCCAACTGCCACCCTGCTCGTGTCCTCCTGGAGCCGGCTTTCGTTCTGCACCGCTTCGGTCCAAGCTGGAGTCCAAGGACCGTGTCGCAGGGCTAAAACACCATGGCAGTGAAGGACGGATTGGGCCCGCGGCCCGTATCCCAGACTGCCAAACGTCACTTTCTGAACCGACTAGAAACTAGCTCCAAACCTTGACTTTTCCTGCGTTTCTGCACTGCCAACTGCCACCCTGCTCGTGTCCTCCTGGAGCCGGCTTTCGTTCTGCACCGCTTCGGTCCAAGCTGGAGTCCAAGGACCGTGGCAGTGAAGGACGGATCTGAACCGACTAGGAACTAGCTCCAAACCTTGACTTTTCCTGCGTTTCTGCACTGCCAACTGCCACCCTGCTCGTGTCCTCCTGGGGCCGGCTTTCGTTCTGCACCGCTTCGGCCCAAGCTGGAGTCCAAGGACCGTGTCGCAGGGCTAAAACACCATGGCAGTGAAGGACGGATTGGGCCCGCGGCCCGTATCCCAGACTGCCAAACGTCACTTTCTGAACCGACTAGAAACTAGCTCCAAACCTTGACTTTTCCTGCGTTTCTGCACTGCCAACTGCCACCCTGCTCGTGTCCTCCTGGAGCCGGCTTAGCTCGTTACTTTCTGCGGCTCCAAACCTTGACTTTACCTGCGTTTCTGCACTGCCAACTGCCACCCTGCTCGGTCTAAGCTGGAGTCCAAGGACCGTGTCGCAGGGCTAAAACACCATGGCAGTGAAGGACGGATTGGGCCCGCGGCCCGTATCCCAGACTGCCAAACGTCACTTTCTGAACCGACTAGAAACTAGCTCCAAACCTTGACTTTTCCTGCGTTTCTGCACTGCCAACTGCCACCCTGCTCGTGTCCTCCTGGAGCCGGCCTTCGTTCTGCACCGCTTCGTCCAAGCTGGAGTCCAAGGACCGTGTCGCAGGGCTAAAACACCATGGCAGTGAAGGACGGATTGGGCCCGCGGCCCGTATCCCAGACTGCCAAACGTCACTTTCTGAACCGACTAGAAACTAGCTCCAAACCTTGACTTTTCCTGCGTTTCTGCATTGCCAACTGCCACCCTGCTCGTGTCCTCCTGGAGCCGGCTTTCGTTCTGCGGCCCGTAGCCCAGAGTGCCAAACGTTACTTTCTGAACCGACTAGAAACTAGCTCCAAACCTTGACTTTACCTGCGTTTCTGCACTGCCAACTTGCCACCCTGCTCGTGTCCTCTTGGCGCCGGCTTTCGTTCTGCACCGCTTCGGTCCAAGCTGGAGTCCAAGGACCGTGTCGCAGGGCTAAAACACCATGGCAGTGAAGGACGGATTGGGCCCGCGGCCCGTATCCCAGACTGCCAGACGTCACTTTCTGAACCGACTAGAAACTAGCTCCAAACCTTGACTTTTCCTGCGTTTCTGCACTGCCAACTGCCACCCTGCTCGTGTCCTCCTGGAGCCCAGACTGCCAAACGTCACTTTCTGAACCGACTAGAAACTAGCTCCAAACCTTGACTTTTCCTGCGTTTCTGCACTGCCAACTGCCACCCTGCTCGTGTCCTCCTGGAGCCGGCTTTCGTTCTGCACCGCTTCGGTCCAAGCTGGAGTCCAAGGACCGTGTCGCAGGGCTAAAACACCATGGCAGTGAAGGACGGATTGGGCCCGCGGCCCGTATCCCAGACTGCCAAACGTCACTTTCTGAACCGACTAGAACTAGCTCCAAACCTTGACTTTTCCTGCGTTTCTGCACTGCCAACTGCCACCCTGCTCGTGTCCTCCTGGAGCCGGCTTTCGTTCTGCACCGCTTCGGTCCAAGCTGGAGTCCATGGACCGTGTCGCAGGGCTAAAACACCATGGCAGTGAAGGACGGATTGGGCCCGCGGCCCGTATCCCAGACTGCCAAACGTCACTTTCTGAACCGACTAGAAACTAGCTCCAAACCTGGACTTTTCCTGCGTTTCTGCACTGCCAACTGCCACCCTGCTCGTGTCCTCCTGGAGCCGGCTTTCGTTCTGCGGCTCCAAACCTTGACTTTACCTGCGTTTCTGCACTGCCAACTGCCACCCTGCTCGGGTCCTCCTGGAGCCGGCTTTCGTTCTGCACCGCTTCGGTCACTTTCTGAACCGACTAGAAACTAGCTCCAAACCTTGACTTTTCCTGCGTTTCTGCACTGCCAACTGCCACCCTGCTCGTGTCCTCCTGGAGCCGGCTTTCGTTCTGCACGGCTTCGGTCCAAGCTGGAGTCCAAGGACCGTGTCGTAGGGCTAAAACACCATGGCAGTGAAGGACGGATTGGGCCCGTGGCCTGTATCCCAGACTGCCAAACGTCACTTTCTGAACCGACTAGAAACTAGCTCCAAACCTTGACTTTTCCTGCGTTTCTGCACTGCCAACTGCCACCCTGCTCGTGTCCTCCTGGAGCCGGCTTTCGTTCTGCGGCTCCAAACCTTGACTTTACCTGCGTTTCTGCACTGCCAACTGCCACCCTGCTCGGGTCCTCCTGGAGCCGGCTTTCGTTCTGCACCGCTTCGGTCTAAGCTGGAGTCCAAGGACCGTGTCGCAGGGCTAAAACACCATGGCAGTGAAGGACGGATTGGGCCCGCGGCCCGTATCCCAGACTGCCAAACGTCACTTTCTGAACCGACTAAAAACTAGCTCCAAACCTTGACTTTTCCTGCGTTTCTGCACTGCCAACTGCCACCCTGCTCGTGTCCTCCTGGAGCCGGCTTTCGTTCTACACCGCTTCGGTCCAAGCTGGAGTCCAAGGACCGTGTCGCAGGGCTAAAACACCATGGCAGTGAAGGACGGATTGGGCCTGCGGCCCGTATCCCAGACTGCCAAACGTCACTTTCTGAACCAACTAGAAATAAGCTCCAAACCTTGACTTTTCCTGCGTTTCTGCACTGCCAACTGCCACCCTGCCCGTGTCCTCCTGGAGCCGGCTTTCGTTCTGCACCGTTTCGGTCCAAGCTGGAGTCCAAGGACCGTGTCGCAGGGCTAAAACACCATGGCAGTGAAGGACGGATTGGGCCCGCGGCCCGTATCCCAGACTGCCAAACGTCACTTTCTGAACCGACTAGAAACCAGCTCCGAACCTTGACTTTTCCTGCGTTTCTGCACTGCCAACTGCCACCCTGCTCGTGTCCTCCTGGAGCCGGCTTTCGTTCTGCGGCCCGTAGCCCAGAGTGCCAAACGTTCCTTTCTGAACCGACTAGAAACTAGCTCCAAACCTTGACTTTACCTGCGTTTCTGCACTGCCAACTGCCACCCTGCTCGTGTCCTCTTGGCGCCGGCTTTCGTTCTGCACCGCTTCGGTCCAAGCTGGAGTCCAAGGACCGTGTCGCAGGGCTAAAACACCATGGCAGTGAAGGACGGATTGGGGCCGCGGCCCGTATCCCAGACTGCCAAACGTCACTTTCTGAACCGACTAGAAACTAGCTCCAAACCTTGACTTTTCCTGCGTTTCTGCACTGCCAACTGCCACCCTGCTCGTGTCCTCCTGGAGCCGGCTTTCGTTCTGCACCGCTTCGGTCCAAGCTGGAGTCCAAGGACCGTGTCGCAGGGCTAAAACACCATGGCAGTGAAGGACGGATTGGGCCCGCGGCCCGTATCCCAGACTGCCAAACGTCACTTTCTGAACCGACTAGAAACTAGCTCCAAACCTTGACTTTTCCTGCGTTTCTGCATTGCCAACTGCCACCCTGCTCGTGTCCTCCTGGAGCCGGCTTTCGTTCTGCACCGCTTCGGTCCAAGCTGGAGTCCAAGGACCGTGTCGCAGGGCTAAAACACCATGGCAGTGAAGGACGGATTGGGCCCGCGGCCCGTATCCCAGACTGCCAAACGTCACTTTCTGAACCGACTAGAAACTAGCTCCAAACCTTGACTTTTCCTGCGTTTCTACACTGCCAACTGCCACCCTGCTCGTGTCCTTCTGGAGCCGGCTTTCGTTCTGCACAAACTCTTCGCCCCTTCTGGCATCTTGTTGCTAGTAAAGCCTCCTCTGACGCGCTCCCCCTGCTGACGGCAGGGGTCGGCGGATTCAGTTGTTCAGTTATTCATTTAGTTAGTTAGTTACTTAGTTAGTCACTTAGTTACTTAGTTTGTTAGTTAGTGAGTTAGACAGGCAAATAGATAGAGAGATAGCTTGAAGCTCCAACCACTTGTCGGTCCATCACTGGACTCGCTCTGCCAGTTTTGCTTCCCAACATCCAACCTCTCCTATAGGTTTCCTCCTTTGAAACTTCCGCCACCGCCTTGTGCGGTACTACTGGGATATGTGGGACAAGTACGCAAAGGATAACGTTCATCGTGATGTGCGTCAGCATAGACGCCGTTGCGCCCAGGTACCTGCGCCTGCGGCTGCATCTGTATCGAATTCTCCTTGGAGTCGTGTGAAAGGGAAGGAACGATTTGAATGTTTAAGGACACTGTATCCAAAGTGAGAAGTCGATCAAATGACGTCAGAAGTATCCATGCTCGTTCTGACTGCACATCTCTCTCAATCTGTCTTATTATGTCTCTTCCTTTCTGTCTGTAAATGTTGTTTGCAGAAGTGAACTGTCTGTGGTATTGGTTTCGAAGATGGCCTGTTCGAACTGAGATAGATGTTGCAGAGTCAATGGCCTAGCTGAACGTGTGGTAAAGGCACGGCAACCTGTTGCAAGTATAGCTCAAGGCTGCATGGCCAGGCATACGTCTGCCGAATGGAAGGGTGGAAAGTTGGAGTGGTAAGCGTGAAATATTCTTGGGCCGGAGCTGGGAAGGAGTATGGCAAGCTTGGAAGGAGTATGGAAAGCGACTTGCGGTGCGTTTTCTGTGCCGTGTCTGTGTAGACAGTGCCGGAAGTTGGCGTAAGAATATGTCATGTCCGTGTGCTGGATGTGGCATGGGAAGCAAACAACATTGTTTAGTTATCTCAGTTTTCTGTCTTAGGAAAAGTTAGATAGATACATCGTAAGGATGCAGTGAGGATTGGTAGTTTCTGAGCTGACATGCATGCTACACTTCGACTCGCACAGGTATCCTGTTGTTTGTGCATGGGCTGGTGCGCAATTTTCTTGTCAGTTGCTGGTTGCATGAGTATAACAGCAAGATGTGGAGACACAGAGACCCGGTCCATGTGGAAAGCATTTGTAAGGCATTTCTGCCTTAGGCAGGGTGACAGCAGTACAAGTAACGGGAGGAGCTGCACAAAAGCCGGTCAGTTCAGCTTTGAGGTGTCCAATGTAACAGATATGGAAGAAAATCGAAACCATGATGCGTCACCCTGTCAACGCCATGGGTGACTCGCTGGTGTCTAGCGAACTGGTTTTTTCAGTTGCATGCATCTTACTATTGCGTGTGGCTGGTGTGCCTGCTCCGGAAGAACTGACCTGTTCTCGGACGTGCGACGCCTTCGCGTTGGACTACGTACTTCAGGTGCTTTGGCTGCATGTTATTGTTTGTCGTGGGGCTGCATACATGCGGTCGACCGGTTGACTGTAGGCTGTCCCAAGCAGGTATCATCAAGACATCTCGTCGTTCCATGTTTGGAGATTCAGTGTTTGGAGAAATGGTGATTCCAGGCATGGTGCAGCAGTCCTGCCTATGAGATCCTTGCGTGGGCGGAAGTTCATACGGATGAATCAAAGGAAGCATGCTTAAACTGGCAACATCTAGCTGAGCAAGCAGTTTTTCTCAAAGCTGTTTGCAGAGATGTACTTGTGTCCACGGACAAGCTCACCGAGCCTGTGAAAGCAGCATTGCATGTTCTAGATCTCCGGATGCAGCAATGGTTCCGGAAACGTAGGCCACGGCTTGATTAGCGTTTCTTGTCGGATAGAATCTAGTCGCAACATCAGAGCACAATGGAATAAGTAGATCATCAGAGCACACTGTACTGACTAGTTTTCTACTGGTGTCCCAATCCCAAGTGTCGAAATCCTCGATGTGCCTAGCTTGTCGTGCATTGCAGGTTGGGCCCGTCAAGCGCAGATTCACGACGCGCACATGCAACGTCATCGAGCTGCTGACTCGGTATTCGAAGAACTATTGCTTGGGAGTTGCAGCCTGGGACGAACCTGCAGAACAAGACTTGATGGAGAGTTCACCGCCTGTGGCCAGTCAGGGTCAGCATCCCTGTGCACTTGCGCGTGGCAGCAGGTCAGCGACTTGTTTCAAGTACGGCGCTTGTCCACAATGTTGCTCTATGCTTACACAGGGAAATTCGTTGGAAAGCCAGTGGTGAGATGTGCGAAATCTAAAGAGTATGACCGCAACACTGGAAAACGGTGTTGCTTTTACCAGCAACCTTTTTGGCGAAGTCTTTCAAATCTTCCGAAATCTGTGCTTGGCCAGATGCGCACTTTGCGCTCGAATCTGCGTTGGGGCTTACTGCATGGGTACCAGACCCGAGGCTGATGCATGCACACTAGAGTCGAGCATCGGATCCATCGGATCCAAGACTATGTTCAGGGTGCACATGGGCAGATGACAGGCGATGAAGGCGCAGTGCAGGGCGCAATGCTGCAGGGTGTCTTACTGGCTAGTGTGTGTGGCTCAGGCCTATGTGTGTGTATGGCTGAGTCCGTTTTGTGTGCGCAGATGAGTTGTATCTGTGTGCGTGACGGGGTTAGATCTGTGTGCGTGGCTGAGTTGGGTCTGCGTGCGTGGCTGAGTTTTGGCTGTGTGCGCCGCTGAGTTGGATCTGTGTGCGTGGCTGAGTCGTTTACCGGAGGAGAAGGAGAAGAACAACTCTGATAAAATCTAACAACCCTCACCTGGCAGGTGAGGTATATTTATATTTATGAAGAAACATTATGACAACTATGAATGACACATGAATTCCAAACACGTTCAGATCCGATTGTTGTCCAAACGCCAGCCAACCTGTTGTAGATGTTTGTAGGCGAGTCTTTCTGCATGGCCTCACGTTATGTTGTTGGAGGCAAAGCGTTGCAATCTTCACCACTCGGCCCCAGAAAATGATGACCGAGATAGAGAAACTTGTGCCGGATGAGCGTTTGGAGCGAGCAAGGCGTGACAAGAGGTCACAAGATTGTATACAGGATCTGAAGACCATTGATGGCTATTAGCTTTGTCCGACCAACTGCATGCTTGAAGAAACCCAACCGCAATATGTTTGACTTCGTTGACTCCACAAAAAATATGATATTCAAGATTTGGGGAAACTAACCCTGAAGGCTTCGCATCATGAATGCCGCATTATACAAGTGGAGGGAAAACGACGGCTGCTCGATTGCAGAAAGATTTGGGAGATGCAGGTAGTCATCATGCTGAAACATTGCGGGAAAAACAAATTAAAGAAAAACATTTTTTGCCTTGCGCATCCTTTACCTTCATTTTTGCATCCAGGCATTTTTGATGTCGTGATCCATGTCGATCCGCCACCGAACCCTTCGGAGTACTTTTCGCGAAGCTTGATTGCCACTTTGTATTCCTTTGTGCTCCTTGCAGTGGTGCAAAGGGACCTATTGTTTTGCAGTTGCCTGTCATGGCGTCGATATCGGGATATTCTGGACATTTCTGGACCTTGTCTATTTTTGAGGCAGTAATGCATATAGTACAAATGGAATTGGCATGCATCATTTCCATTCATTTCCGTGCGCCCCCCCCCCTCTGCCATCTAAGGGCTTGGATCGTGCAAACAGCTTGCCATCGTGTTCATGGACGTCACCAAGTACCGGTACGGTGTTGAGGGGGAGAGAGGTGTTGAGAGGCCGGAAATCAACGAATGTGCAAGGCGGTGAGACGGACAAACTGGTTTGGACCGTGATGAAAATTAGTAATTAATTATTCTCTTTGGACTGTTGTTGGGTTGACAAATAATTTCAACACATGGAAGACATTTTGGGGATGCAGTCGCAGTTGATTTCCTTGCGGTTTGCACTTGATTTTTTCAGGCTTGAGAATGAGTGGGTGGAATTTGCCTTCTACGCCATGGATCCTGCCACGGGTGAAGATGCACACCGACTACGGCAGTTGTGCAGGCCAGGATCAATGCGACCCAATTGTTGCACAATGATGAAGTAAATATATAAAGAATGCGAACAAATGAGAAAGAATGAGAAAGACAGGATACACTATTGCTAAGATTTACCAAGTATATGTATGTATACTATGTATGGTTGCCCCATGTTTATCTTTTGGGAAAATGCATGAAGGCTTTGCATGGTTGCAAATGACCAATGGTGCCCAGAACAGCCCGTGGTGCATACAAAGCCAGAGAGAGAGAGAGAGAGAGAGAGACTCAAGATATGTATAGATAACAGATATGTCAACATCAGGTAAGGAAGTTCAGAGACGATTTTGGACGTCTCAGGAGGTTTCAAGGCTGCCAGGTTTGGTAAGAGCTTCAGTATGGCTGGGATCTGATTTACTGCAGCTGTTGGGTGCTGCGATCTCACACCTGTGGAGGGGTGAACACTACGAGAAGACGCGACTGTGCCTTGGACTAGAGCCGTTCTGACTAAACTCACACGGAATGCCCAGAGCTGCCCCAATCACAAACACTCATGAACAGTTTTATGAGTTGTTGATTGAAATAATTAGTAACTATATATTAATTAATATTAACTATAGTTCATTAGTTCCATTGCCACCGTTTGTTTTTTATTTAAGATTTGGGAACTCCGGAAGACTCCTTGAAATTGTGCCAGAGGCACCCAAGGTGCATCGCACTTTGCCAAGGTCGCTGTCCTTCCAGAAGGCTGCATCAATCTGCACGGCTGCATTACTGGGGTGTTTGGAGTGCTCTCCCAGTGCGTGTTATGTGAGGCTATGATTCACAGCATTGTTTTTATATTGCATAGGCTGCATAGGACATTGGTCTGAGTTTTGGCTACCTGAACTTCCATCAAAAGGTAGAGGGGGTGCTGAGACTAAGTTGCACATTGCGTGGTCACTGGATGTACACATGGAGAGGGCGCCGTTCTTGGAAACCTGCTAGCCAGCAGCACATTACTGCCAGGATTTCCACGCAGAGGATGATAAAGAGTTCCTTGACTTGGACGTCAGACAAAGCAGCAAGCTGAACTCTACCCATTGCTCTACCAATCTTCCTTTGGTAGATCTAGATTAACTAAGCTATATCTCTCCTTTCTCTCTCCTTTTTCTCTCTCTCGCCTTCTTTATCTTTCTCTCTTTAGGCCGAGGGTGGTACCGGCGGCGAGTCACGAAACGGCAACCCTTTCGCACGAAATGAGGGTCGATCGGCAAAAACTGCGGTAAAATTGCGATTTGACTTGTGCCGGAGCAACCCTTTCGCACGAAATGAGGGTCGATCGGCAAAAACTGAGGTAAAATTGCGATTTTACTTGTGCCGGAGCAACCCTTTCGCACGAAATGAGGGTCGATCGGCAAAAACTGAGGTAAAATTGCGATTTGACTTGTGCTGGAGCAACCCTTTCGCACGAAATGAGGGTCGATCGGCAAAAACTGAGGTAAAATTGCGATTTGACTTGTGCCGGAGCAACCCTTTCGCACGAAATGAGGGTCGATCGGCAAAAACTGAGGTAAAATTGCGATTTGACTTGCCCCGGAACAACCCTTTCGCACGAAGTGAGGGTCGATCGGCAAAAACTGAGGTGAAATTGCGATTTGACTTGCCCCGGAGCAACCCTTTCGCACGAAGTGAGGGTCGATCGGCAAAAACTGAGGTAAAATTGCGATTTTTCGTGTGCTGGAGTAACTTTTTCGCACGCAAAGAGGTTTGTGTGTACGAGCGTTTCTGTGTAAAGATGTTTGTGTGTAAAAGTGTTTGTGTGTACAAGTGCATCTGTGTAAAAGTGTTGTGTGTAAAACCTTCTGTGTGTAAAAGTCTTTGTGTGTAAACGGGTTTGTGTGTACGAGTGTTTCTGTGTAAAGATGTTGGTGTGTACAAGTGATTGTATGTAAAATTGCATCTGTTTAAACGTGATTGTGTGTAAAAGCTTCTGTGTGTAAAAAGTGTTTGTGTGTAAACGTGTTTGTGTGTCGGAGGGTTTCGGTGTAAAGATGTTTGTGTGTAAAAGTGTTTGTGTGTACAAGTGCATCTGTGTAAAAGCAATTGTGTGTCAAAGCTTTGTGTGTAAAAGTGTCTCTTTGTAAAAGGGTTTGTGTGTAAGAGTGTTTCTGTGTAAAGATGTTTGTGTGTAAAAGTGTCTGTGTAGAAGCGTTTGTGTGTAAAAGCTTCTGTATGTAAAAGCTTCTGTGTGTAAAAGCTTCTGTATGTAAAAGCTTCTGTGTGTAAAAGCTTCTGTGGGTAAAAGCTTTGTGTGTAAAAGCGTCTGTGTAAAAGCGTCTGTGTGTAAAAGTGTTTGCGATGCAAACTATTGTCTTGCACTTCTCGCTATTTTGTCTTGATACTCCTCTTCTCGACTGCCTATAACACAGCTTTCATATATCGTTTCTAAAATTGCGTCTCCATACTAACGAGAGAAGACCCTGCTCCTCTACGCTCTCGGGCCATCCGTCGTCTAGTTTTTTGGTATTCAGTAAATCTTGCCCTGCTGTGAAGCATTTGTCGCGAGGCACGGCAACCCAAGTCGATACATGTCAATGCTAGCTGATACCTCTAGAACCTGTTCCATACCACAGAAAGGGGCGGAGGCACATCATGGATCATCATGGCACATCTGCATTTTTCTGCTCAGGTTGATTTGGACAGCAGGTGTTGCAGAGACAGACACTGGATTGATCTTCGACGCCGGCCTTTAAAAAAGTGCGATGCGTTCCTCAGACTTTGAATGGCTCTTGGATCTAGAATGGATCTAGATAATCCATGCCATTCCATGCCTATTGTCTATGTCTGTAGTACTCGTCACCATGTGCTGGCTGCTAGCGGTTGCTCAACTGGTCGACACACGCACACACTCATTGACACTCTTTTCCTTCAGGCTTTCCACCACTTCTCTATCAGTATTTGTTGGCATCTTCCCCCCAGTTCACCCTGGTCCAACTGCTACTGTTGCAGTCACATGTTAACTGCACACCCCCAGCACAAACTTGTTTTGCAATGTTTTGCAGTCGTTTGAATCCTGGAAAAAATGATTAACACTTACTGAAAGACAAAGAGCAACTGGAGCATTACGTAAATTCCAATCCATTCCCACCACTTTCGTCTCTTTTATCGCGTCATTATGCTTCATTGGTTTCGCGAGAGCTGCCAACTTTACAGCGCAGGTGGAGGTGAAGCTTCTGCCTCGTTTGAGGCCGCCAACCCTGTGCCGATGTCGATTTGATTCATGTTTGTGTTTGTATGTTTCCTGCAGCGCGGCAAGGCAAGATCTACCTGAAACATTTTGAAACATCTTGAAACTTCACATAATCGAAGCTCAGAGTGAACACAAAGTGAGGGATTGAATTGAAAGGCTTGCAGATGCTTGCAGTGCACCTGTCGCTGCTTGAACAGCGCAACAGTCCAACTCCTCCGGACACCAAAGTGTGCCAAAGGTTTGATTCACCCTTGCGCGCGATGTTTTAAAATGTTTTATGCTTAGAATCTTGCTGGGTCTTGTAGCCCTTTGGCACTTGTCATTCGCAAAGACAGATATATTTGCTTATTTGAACTGTGATGGGCACAAATCGTGGCAAGGCTTTCGCACAGCCCTGGGACTAACCTTCAGTGCTTCAAAGGTTTCAGGTGTCCTCGATCCCTTTGGGCCAGAGAATCGGCAAGATCTTGCAGAGCTTGCAAGCTTTGCTGATACCCTGTTGGTTGAACACTTTGCATCCGTGGACATCGGCAATTTTGTGGCCGTGCTATCCGAACCGGGTCTGACTCGAAACAAACAGCGAGCGCAGGACTGTGTTTATGGAGTGGTGTCCGCGCTCTACATCCGAGGGCAAGAGCTTCTGACCCAGGGTGATATCAGTGCCGCTGCAGCGGATTGGGAGATGGCTCTGCAGTTTCTGGGGAAAGAATTGGGGCTGGACTTCATGGAGTCCACAGAGTGGCCGCGATCCGCCAACATTTTGTTATCCTTGGCCAAGCTACAGGGATCACCAGTGACAGATGTGACAGCATCACCAATGTCTCCATTCCAACGAGATCAACGAGCTGGTCGTCAAGGTCCACCTGCAGTCGACACCCTGAAAGCTTGGAAGGAGGTGAAGCACCCGCCATTGGAGCAGTCGTCAGTAAAGCTACAGGAACGAAAGCCCGAGGTGGTCGTTTATGGTTACCATCCTGTCCTGATTGAGCCCGTTTCCGCCCTTTGGTCGTTGCAGGCCCTTCGCCTCCATTGGATTGGCGTGAGCGACAGAGACTGCGCTTTCTTCAAGCTTTGCCACAAGAGGAGCCCCCAGAGGCCAGTGCCAGCAAGGTTGAGATACAAAATCTACATGTCCGACAAAGACGTTGCAGAGGTGGAACACGCATACCGAGATTTCTGGGACGCTGAAATTCGATCGGGCTTGTTGGCAGATTTGCTGATTTGTATGGAGCTGCGCGATGCCTATTTTTTGTGGAAGGTCTCTAGATCCATGCATCACACTGTTGCAACTATCTATTATCCAGGCATTATTTTCATGCAGGACGAGGCTATGAGTGACTACGCATCCAAGGTGCTGCTGGACCAATTTCAGGAACTCAGCAGTCACGACGTGCTGCGACAGGGAGGGCTTCACCGTACAAGTGGTACAGTTGCCATGATTGCCCAATCACCATACCTCGCTGCCAGCATCGAATACCACACGGGGCGGCAAATCGCGACCGTGCGGCCATTGGCAAATTATTTGGATGTCAAGTACCGCCCCAACAGCTCCACCATCCTGGTGCTTTGTGCCAGGACGCGCCTCATGATGTCCCACAGTTGCCGTGGTCTTTTTCGTGAGGGCCAGCATCGTTTGCAGAGAGGCTTGCATCTGCGCTTGCCACCTGGTGACCGAGATGTGGTGCATGGCTACTCTTTTGAAGAGGTCGCTCGGTTCAGTGCAACGGTGCTAATTCCATGGAACATTGCTGTGACCACGTTCCATGAACTCTACGCCATGAACATGCCGTTGTTTGTTCCAGATCGCTTGTGGCTTGCCAGGCTTTGGCCAAAGCAAATGACCAGTTATGGCCGGAGCCATCCCAATTTGCACCAACAGCTCCGACCCAGGCCAAGTGGTTCCAGTCGTCCAAGTCATCCAACTCCATATCCGTCCTTGGATCATGTGGCTCAGGACTTTCCCACCATGCTCTACTGGGCCGGCTACGCCTTCCTTGAGATGCCTGGGGTCCAGGTTTTTGCATCGATTCCCCAGCTGCTGTGGTCCCTGAACAGCGGGGCTTATAACTTGGAGAAGATGTCGCAAGAGATGAAGGAAGAGACCAGCAAGGCGGCCCAGGAGGTCATACCTTTCTGGGCCGCACTGATGGAAGAACTGACCGATACAGTGGAGCAAAGTGGAAAAGTCAGAGGATCGACGGATCGATGGAGCGACTATGAGCGACTGGATTGTTTGAGTTGTTGAGAAGATTCCGATCCCCTACCTTGGCATATCACATATTTATATCATTGATATCATTGGCATTTGGCATTTCAATTTATGTGCGTGTGATGAGCATGTCGAAGTGCCCAAGTTTTGCCTTCATATATAGTGTCCAAAGATGTCTAAAGAGGTTGCTCGAAGACCACTAGATAGAAGTTCTGAAAGTGTTAGTTAGACGATATCTCATGCATCACCCTCCCCGGCTGAGTCTCTTCAGAAAGTAAGTAGTGCGATCCATACATTTTTTTCATCATGCAGTTCATATCGCTGAATTAGCTATTCAACCATATCGGACGCATTCCAACGCAATGTTGGCTTTGGAGTGCTGTGCGGCCAAATTTGACCACGAGACCCAACATTTAGAGTCACGAGTCACGGTGTACGTATAGTTTTAGTTTTTGAAGCGCAGGTGGAGCCGGTGCTTCATTGTGGATCCTGCGGCCATGCAACTTGGCATTTCACCTGCTTCGAAGTTTGAGATTCGTCGATCTGGCGAGGACTGGTGACATTCTTCTCATATTCGGTGCCCTATATGGGAGCGTTGCTCTCGGCGTTTCTGTTGCTCTCGGCTCAGGTGGCTTCTTCCGGTCAGCGCTTTTGCCAGCATTGTGGTCAGCGCTTGGAGGCTTGGCCCATGGCACGAGCCGGTGCATCCCAATGGTGCTGACTTCCTACGGCGGATGTACATGCGCAGTCCAATCAGACACGTGAGAATCAGGAGATATCAGGAGCACCATGGGGCACCCTTCATGCAGGGCATTATTAAACAATGTCAACCTGATGGCTCCTATAATTTTCATGTCCACGCCCTAAACACCTCATACTCGTAATACGGTAGTTGCACGCAGCAGACCTTGGCTCTGGTCGGGTTGTTTTGGCCGCTTGAGGCTAGCAAGCAACAACAATAGCGAAACTTAGAGGTACAACCACTATAGCGTTTTTCTTGTTATCCGATCATACCCCCTTTGCCATCCTTTGCCCACTTGCCTTTCTTGGACCCATGACCCGCCACTAAAACATTGAACATCCCTGTGTCTCTCCTACGCGGCTCCACGTATTTGTTTGACCGCTGCAACTGCGGGGTTGCTCCGGATGGATGGTCGCTCTGGCTCGTGGCATGTGAGATCATGTATGGCAATGTATGGCAATGTATGGCAATGTATGGCAATGTATGGCAATGTATGGCAATGTATGGGGATGGGGGGACGGGAGATGGACTCAGTATGAATCAGTAAGTCATGTAGACTCGCCACTTTGCTTGGGGAAGAAAGCTGAAAGCTGGGCTGGAAGCGAGAGTGCTTTCAAGAAGATTGGTTGGATGAAGGAAGTAGATACACAGGAGATGGCAGGAGTGCAGTGAAGCCTCAGGTTTGAACTCTTGTAATTAGTGCTATCGTTGGATCTGTCTGACTGCAGCCATATGTCAGATCAATAGATACTTGGAACAGCTTGAACCATCAAGCACTCCCAGATCAAGACCTTTGCCTTTGCACCCCTTCAGACCTTTGTTCAGACAAAGGTTTGGCAGGGATGGAGCCTCTTTCCTCTTTTTGTTACCCTCTGCAAAATTGACAAAAGTAAAAGGTTTCTCAAATTCGAGCTCGCTGTGAATGACAAGTGCCATCCTGGGCCTTCATAATGGATTTTGGCCAATACTAATGCACAGGCGAAGGGAAGCCGCATGAAGTACTATGAAGGAGTCAGGAGACCCCTGGAGAATGTTTGCATATGCATAGCTGAACATAGCTAGCTGCACTGCATCTACCCTTCATCTCTGCAAGCCATGGAGCGGCGCAGTCGCTGGCAGAAACGAGCTGAGCCAGTGCCAGAGCCGGAGAAGCCTGTGCCTGAAAGCACTGAAAGGCAGGGCCGGGAAGAGCTTTCAGGGCCATTTGGGGCTGGGCGCGAGCATGGTGACGGATGGTGACGGTACAAGCAATGAGCTTCATTTCTGCAATTTGCTGCATATAATGCTTCGCACCGCCATCCTACTCATGATCCTCATGATGCTCATGACCATCATTACCATCACCATTACCATCGCCGTCCTCATTATCATCAGCCTCCTCATCATGATCATCACGAGGATATTCGCGACTGTTCTTGTTGTTTTGTCCAGGCCAGCTCCTGAAGATGATTCCGACTCTGAAGGTCACTTGGATTGATTTGTGGATTCACCTGTGGTAAAATCCAATGATTCATCAATATCATCACTGATTTTTCTTTATGTTTTACCTATAGCAATACTATGGGAAAAGAAAGCTTATCATAAAAAGTTTTCTTGCAAAGGGTGCCTTGACTCATTGGATTGATGGGACTAGCTAGACCCAGGCAAACAGATGTGAAAAGACAAACACGGCTTTCGCCGCAAAGCCACCTGCTTTTTTGCCAATCATGACCACAGATATGCCTTGGCTTATCTTGGCTTGCACAGTCATGGTGAGGTTTCTGGGACGAACTGCCACCCAGCAGAGCGCGAATGGACTCTGCCACTGTCCGAAATGGAGATCATTTAGCTAGCGGACAGCCTGTGTCGTCAGCGCCAGTGGAGAATCCCCGATGGGTACTCCTGGCTTAAATCTGCGTACAGTGCTTGGTGGGAACTTTGAGTTTGTTCACCAAAGTGTCGTTGAGCCTTGATTTTATCAACCACACTTGACTTTCTGGAATTTACTTTGGATTCTGGATCATTTTGGACCTATGTGGGCAAGAAATCCAAGAAGTCTGATTCATTTTTTTGAGATGAAAGAATTGTATAGAATTGTGAACCTCGAGAGTCTCGAGAGGGTTTCCGTTTATTTAGTTTTCAGCAACTGTGGGTTTGGTACCTTGATGTGGCCTTGAGCTGTTGTATTTAGGGCATTGTTTCACAATACATTGCGTGATCATTTTTGCGTGGGAAGATTGATGCAATATGCAGCAGCTTACACCAAAATATCTTGAGGGGCTTAACCTCGGGTCAGTGCATTTGACTTGCATAGTGTGACCCAGCTTCGTTTCAAGATGTTTCAGCAGGCTTTGTTGTCCCTGTGTTTTTTCTGATTGTTTCCGAGTGCCAACCTCGGGTCTCGTAGATTTTATTGAGTCAGGAAGTGGTATCGCATGTTCAGGCCCCTAGATTCCCAGGATAACAGTCCGATATTATCCGATATGGATATGGCTAGCTTTCTGGGGGATCAGACCCTCCTAGGCACTGCCGAACGGGGACGTGGTGAGAGGGCCCAAAGTGCCCCAAAAACAAAGGACTCTCAGCAGCATAAAGAAGGACCTAGATTGCACGGTGCATACGACCGATCCATTACATAATTCGTCGTAGTATGTGCGGATATGTGCGGTATGTGGTAGTCATAAATTTCATGCTTATGTATATATATATATATACAGTAGAATGTCGAATTTCCATGAATTTCCAGGTTCCATTGGTTGTTGGATGCAGGAAGCAACATCAATCTCCAGCAATGACTCCGGCAGAGCAGCCAGAGTGGAGTCAGCCAGAGGCCGTTTCTAAGATATGCTGTGGCTGTTGTTTTGTCGGGATTTGTCGGGCACATTGCAGGCGTGTATCACAACCCATGGGTGGATGCTTAAAGTTTTTAATTGCTGTCAGCTGCCCAAAAAAGCACTCTGGAAGCACAATTGCTTTTCCAGGTCTCTCGGAATAACGGCTATCAGAGAAATGGCCGACTTGGCATGAGAGAATTGGAAAAATGGGATGCCGAGCAAACTGAAAAGCAACAGTTTCTTGGCTGAATGAAAATAGCGAAGGATCCTGGAATATATGGAAAGTGGAGAAAGAACCTCCACAAGTCACCACCCACATCAAACATCCGCAAAAATGAGTTTCATCATAAAAGCATATAAAAGCGCCATTTGTTCCGCTGCATGGTGCCAAGAGGTCTGCAGGGCAAAATCAGCTCATCCACATGGAGGAGCTGCACCCAGGCCCATTTGGCTGAGTATGCTGAAATGAACAGTAACAGATGTAACAGGACACATGTTATCTTCCCCCTTCTGTGGATGTTTATTCTTGCCAGGATGAATCTAGGAGTATGGACTAGTATCAATCAACATCAATGGAAACCAATAGAGATCAAGAGAGCATCATTGAAGGAAGTCTTGCACGATAACTTCATCAAATTGCTGTCAGATGCAGGCGTCGAGGAAGAAAAAGACGTTTTGGAGGCCATCTATGGTGCAGAGTTTGAGATCCTAGGAGCTGCAGAGTGGAGGTGCCAAAGCTCAGCAGTCTGCACGTTTTTTTCCGCAAGTTTGACCCACAATGATCACAATGACACACCAGGCCAAAGCGCAATCACATCAATCCTGAAATATCGTGAAACGATTAACGCTATGACACGTTGCTGTCACGGGATTAACTTTCTGCATGTGGTCCATTTAGTTCGTGTGGTGTTGCATCAAACCATACGTATTCTCTGTGATCCTTATTTGCATGATCCTTCTGGGATCCTTCTGGTAGACAAGCGGGGGTCAGTGTTCCTGACATGAAATTCTTGTAGTGATATATAGTGATATCAAATTAGGCCCAAGATCACTCTCAATATAGTTCAATATGTTTCCATCCTGGAAGTTGTGGCAGGATCCGTTTTCCATCGCCGCATGATTCAGCTTTGCGGTTGCTGCTACCGGTCGGAGACTCATGCGCTGGGGAGATGGTGAGAAGCGATCATTCTTGCGGTTAGCGCGAGCCAAGCTGAGGCTGGCTATCCATGTACAGAGCCACCGGTGCCAATTTTCGATTGTGAAGGACTGGACTGACGTAGCAAACTATATATAACAAGATGGTCAGAAAACTTGTATTTTTAAAGGGACCGTCATCATACGATTTGGCCATTTGTATCTTGCATTCTTGTGCTTTTGCAGTAATTAATGTTGACCGAGCAGAATGACAGGAGCATCTGAGCCTTTACGACATGCAGCCGCGGATGCTATTTGCGAACTCACTGAGAATTGGGAACCACCTATGGAAGGAGAAGGTTGTATTTACCAGCCCCTCAGCTGTGCTTCATTGATCTTTATTGGTTACAGGCTTCTATGGCGAGTATCACACCTTCAATTTTCAACATTTTTTAAAGCTTTTTCAGCCACACCCAGCTTGCTCAGTGATCCGTAGTGTGCCAGTGATCCGTAGTGTGCCTCAGTGACCACCAGGTGGGTGGAGCGGCTGCGAGAGTGTCTCGAGCCAGCTCTTGCATTGGAGGTTGCACAAAGGGAAGAGCTTTTTGGCAGCTGATGACAGCGCAGCTGATGGTTGTGGCGTGCATTCTCCAGCGCAGTCAGCTGCATGTGCGACAGCTAAGGTCAGATGAAAGTTATGCAGTGGCACTGCAAGCCCAAGAAGCTTACACAGAGGTAGCTTGCAAGGGTATTGGAGACAAGGTTGCATGCGGTAGACAATACCTATCACTAATCTTGGCATGGTGCTTTTAAAAGCTAACACATTGCAAGGCCTGTCATCTTCCAGATGTAGACAAGGTGACCATCCCTCAGATCTCACCTTTTTGACTTGCAAGTCTTGAGGCTTCTGCCAGCAGTAAGGGGTTCACCTTCTTGCCAGCCAATCCGCAGTATGGACTCTTGCCTGATGGTTCGGCTTGATGTTTTCATTGTGCGGTTAGTTGGTTCAACTATGTTCAACCCCACATCACAGATCAAGACACACAGAACGTCAAAAACACGCCATCCTCTCACCTGGCACTTTGTGTTTGTTCGCATATGCAGGGTGTCAGATGGATAGAATTTTGATAGAATTGGTAGAATTGAGACATCCTACGACTCTTTACGGGTAGGTGACTGTCAGTCTTCTGAACTTCTGATAATGTCAACCCCGGATTAATAAACCATGGTTTATCAGGGGGGTATTCCCCCAATAGTCATGATTTGATACTTATAAATGGTACCTTCCAAATTAAACAGCCTAGGGGTTGCACTTTCCCCGACCATGCAGTGCCCAGGACAGAGAAGGCGGACCTTTGACGACACTGCCTTCGAAGCTGCGAATGCTGTCGACATCAAACGGGGCGAGCCGTTCACAGTGACTGGGGATGCAGACATGGCAACACCGGTGGCGCTTGGCACTTTCAGATTCCAAATAGATTGATGTAATGATGGATAGGTGATAGATGATGATAGATACATCGAAAGATAGGGATATATATATATATATATAATATATATATATATAATTAATTATATTAATTATGTATAGATGACAAAAAGGGATAGAGATAGAGATGCAGATGCACAGAGATGACGACAGATCATTACAGATGAATATAGATGGATAATGATGGATATAGAGAAAGAGATGGATGGATCAATAGATAGATAAAGAGACAGGTGAAAAGATGAAGTGATAGATGGATAGAATATGATGGAATATGATGGAATATGATGGAATATGATAAAATGGCAATGGGCAGGTAGATAGACGGACAGCCAGGCAGATATACCAATATAATCCAATACACGCAAGGAATTACCAGGAATTACCTTAAAAGGCAGGAATGATTTAGGTGCCCTTGATGATCTCGCTGGTTTAAGGACCGAAAGTCTACTTTCCAGGCCTTCGCCGCAAAGGTGTCCAATCAAGGTCAAGTGAATTGGGTTTCTTGGGCTAATGTTGGATCTTGTTGGTTCAACACGGATCAACATGGATCAACATGGATCAATACTTGTACTGTACTGGTATGCTGAATGTATAGTGGAGATGCGCTGTGCCACCTGGATGTTGGGCGTGATGTTGGGCGTGCTGTTGGGCGTGCTCAAAGGGCACCGGAGCATACCGGAGCCAAGGCCTTGCGGATGTTGCTGGAAGACAGAAAAATTGCCGTGGCTACTCACAATATGTTCGCTTACAGGCGCGACATGCCGCCTTGATTGACTGCAAGCACCTGAATGCGTAGAAAGGACAACTGCTTTGAACTGCTTCGATGCATTGCCTATTTGAATCTATTTGACTGTTTGATTAAGACCTTTTGGTCATTTTTGGGTCCTCCTACTGCTTTTGCATCATCCAGCAGACATTGTGTATTTGTATATAATATATACTCGTTGTTTTGGATGATGTGTGAAAGATTAGCCATTGTTAGTGAAGGGAAGCACCAAATGGGTTTGTGTCTTCAAAGTGTTTAATCGCTTTTCGATGTGTCCAGGTTTCGCGACGAGGTGCGTGGCATCCAGGTTGCGGACAATGAGGACGACGGCGAGGACATCGCTGATTTTTTTCTCGTGCGCAGCTTCTGCATTGTGGTATCACGGTAAGCTCAGAACAGAAATGTGAAACATGCATCACTGCAGAAATATTGAGAATTTCCATGTGATTCCAAATTCTTATTTTTTTTCAATGCCTTTGTGTCTTGAGTCTTGAGGATGGTGCCGGATCAAAGCTGGCAGAACTCCTCCAGCTCGCTGATTGTGAGGACCCGTTTTGTTGAGTCACGTGGTAGGATTTGGACAGTGTTGTTGGATTATGTTGGATTGATATTATCGACAAGTGACTAGCAAGTGCGGAATGTTTGCAATGTGCAAGGCAAACAGCTGTCAACCCGATACATCCTGACTGATATCTGATAATCGTTGGCTTTACTCCGGGTGGTTACAGAGAGTTGCTGGTGCCTTTCTGTCACTGCCACAGAACAGCCAATCATGCGGGAAGCAACAAACCAGCCGTGAGCAGTGCAAAACAAGCTCGAAATTTGCTGTTGGCTTACAGGAAAGAATAAGAAAGCCAAGAACTCCAGAAAGTCTGGGTCGGTCAGCTGCAGGATGTCTTCGTCATGGTGAGTCGCTGGTATGGTGGCATCCATTTAGGCTGGGCCATTTTTTTTTTGTGTGTTTTTCATGGGCAAAAGGCTGCTAAGTCTGCTGTTGCATGGCTGCGCATCGCTTTGAAAGTTGATAGTGCCCTGGTAGTTATTACTGTATGTAGTTATTTATTAATGTACACAAAGAACAGCAAATAGCCAAACAGGCAGATGCAAGAAGCGCAGTGAAGGTCATTCTTGACCCATGAGCTGCAGCTCATGTGTGAGGCTCCGACCGCTTCAAACACATCAGCCGCGCTGCTTCATCTCTTCTAGATGAGCATGGCTGGAGTGGACGGAGTCAAGGAGCCTGCTAACTTGGTCCGACAACATTGGGGACAACGTTTGTGTGGTTTGTTCTCTTGGTTTGGTTCTGTCACTTTGCTTTTTTTGGGGAGCACCTTACGTCACTGGCAGCTGGCACTGAGAAAACATTCAGTACTGTAACAAGAGATGAATGTCAAATATTGATAAATATTGTAAAATGTCAGAGGTATCTATATATCATAGGCATTCATAGGCTTTAAAATCTTTAAATGAGACCGAAGTGCATGCGTGCCAGTAAAGCAGCCCGGCTTTCGCTGTGGCTCCCGTGCCAGGCCGCGGTGCACCAAAGAAAAAGAAGTGAGCAAAAAAAAATGATCCCTGATCTCATCTCTACAATTTGCAGCCGTGCATTGCAAGGGATAAATCGGATAAGGGAGGCTCACCTGGCTGCCAGGTCAAAGATGAAGCCTGGACCTCAAGTCTCGATTCGGTGCAGAATTTTGCAGTGTAGATTCTAAGTTTTAAGATGGTTGAAGTATGTTTTAAGGATACTGTTTGATACTGTTTGATACTGTTTGATACTGTTTGATACTGTAACTGTATCAAACAGTATCAAACAATATCAAACAATCAGTATCAAAAAATCAGTGTCAAACAATCAGTATCAAAAAATCAGTGTCAAACAATCAGTATCAAACAATCAGTATCAAACCGTCCGTATCAAACGGCCCGTATCAAACAGTATCAAACAGTATTTGTTTGTTTGCTTGATACTGTTTGTGTGCGTTTCTGGTGGGCAGGTTTTGGAATCTTATGATATCCTTTTTTAATGTTTAGACATGTTTATAATAGACGTTTAGCAGTGTTCTAGCTCTAGATGCTAGGGGCAGATGTCTTTTAATTGAGATGTGCCATATCTTGCAGTCATGCCACTGTCTTTGACGAGATTGAGTGATCCAATCGCCGTTTGGCTTTGAAAGAGCAACGTGAAATCCTACACTACCTCTTCCTGACAAGTAGCAGGGAGGACACCGAGCAGCTTCATTGGATGTGTCCACTTGCCGTAGCCTTGGGTTGAGATCCAAGTGGAAGAAGGGCACCGGGTATAGCTAGTGCAGCATGGGGCGTGATGTGCCATACAGTAGGCTGATTATATAGATGCTGCATGATGCTGCAGCATGTCATAGTCATAGTGTCGTGGGGGGCATTAGGGGGGCTTAGGACAATGTCAATGTAGCAGTACCACCTTAAACATATGTTGATATTATATTGATTATATTGCAATTTGATGCATATATTTATTTATACCATTGGATGCCAGCAGTTGGTTTCATACCTTGTGTATCCTTGTGTAGATTCTGCGCTTTTGGGGTGCACGCGCAGGACGGTGAAGGATGGAGGCAGAGGAGACGCAAAGTGGAGCCAGTGTGGCCAGTGTAGCCACTAGTAGTGGCATACTGTGGAGAACTAACAAATAGAAAAACATAGAAGACAAATCGTGAGGGATGATTGATCTCATTCCATATCATTCCATATCATTCCCATGGCAGCTGGCTTTTGGAGGACAAGTTCGCAGCACTGCGCACGAAGATCTTCACAGAGTCGCTGGAGACCTCCAATGAGCCAAGGTTGGGAGGGTGCGTCAGGGTCACAACATGTCACAACAAAGTCAGACTTCTGATAGAACCTAAGAACCTTTGGTGCGGAATCGCCGAACCATTCAGGTGGGGCTACTTTGGCATTCCAGGCTCCCTCGCCATCGGTGACAACTCCTATGCACCAAGGTGCTCGCACCTGCTGTGCAAATTCATGTGCCTTCCAAGTGTATGCCTAACGGCCTGGTGGTTGGTGTTTGGTGTTTGCTGGTGATGCCAATGACTCTGGCACTGCGCTTTGACATTCTCAGGTTGACAAAGAAGCCTGTAGCATATGATGAAGAGAACACCACCCGCAATATTCAGGCATGTCCGACAAAGATTCTTGGACTTTCCTAGACCGAGCAAATGCCTCCATTTTGAAAATGGCGCACATAAACGCAACAAGGCTGACAGAACAAGCTTGGTGGTGTTGCATAATTTTTGGTTTTGCCCCATAAAGTGCCACACAGTCCGCCAAAGCTTTTGGTGCCAAGGAAAGGTACAACTCCTGATGTCTACTTCAAGTTCGAAACTCCCTTGGCGATTGGAGATCCGACTCTTTGCTGAGACCTGTTTTGTTTTAGCATGTTTTAGCCAAGGCGAGGAAGAGGATCAAGGCGAGGAAGAGGATCAAAGGATAAGGATTTTGAATCATTTTGACGCATTCGTTTATTACTTTGTCACATGTTTCATCATGTTTCATCATTTTTTCCAAATGATACCAATGTTTTCAATTGCTGAGGTTTGTGGACCCAGGGATCGCAATGAAGAAGGGAAAGGTTTGGATGCTGGATCCTGATGCCACCTTCAAGCCTCCTGGGAAAGTCAAACAGAGTTTCTCGGCGGTGCGGCGGTGGCAAGCCATTGCAAGCCATTGCAAGCCATTCATTGGGTCAGATTTCTTCTTTACATTTCTCTACGCAACTACTGCTCAACTGACTTCCATATGAGACCTCATATGTGTTGGAAGAGTGCTCCTGCTTCCCATGTCAAGGCATCAACAAGCTTGGCTATGAATATGTGTGGTCCCAAGAGTGGCGATGTTCTCTTTCCAGTATTCTTCTCATGGAGTCATGAAACATGAATTCAGGTGGAGCACTGTGACCAAGTGAAGGATCCCAAGGAGGTGAAAGAGAAGTGACCCAGGGCCTTGAGCAGTGATGAGCATATTTTGCGTATAATATCCCTTCTCCCTAATACTAAACGTCCCCCCCTAATAATAATGAACACTGCAAGTAGTTTTTAGTATTAGGGGGTATTTATTATTAGGGAACCAAATCGAAGTCATGTTATTCATGCATTATAATGGAGGAAGGGATTAAAATCAATTAAATTTCTTTATATAACGCAATTAGAATATTGCCAAAAATGGGATTTCGAAGGTTCCCCCTAATACTAAATTAAAACAGTTAATAATAAAAACTATTTTTTTCCGATCTCAAAATCAATTAAATTTCTTTATATAACGCAATTCAATTGCAATTAACATATTGCAAAAAATGGGATTTCGAAGCTTCCCCCTATACAAAATTAAAACCCTTAATAATAAAAACTATTTTTTCCGATCTCAAAATCAATTAAATTTCTTTATATAACGCAATTAAAATATTGCCAAAAATGAGATTTCGAAGCTTCCCCCTAATACTAAATTAAAATCCTTAATAATAAAAACTATTTTTTCCGATCTCAAAATCAATTAAATTTCTTTATATAACGCAATTAAAATATTGCCAAAAATGGGATTTCGAAGGTTCCCCCTAATACTAAACACCCCGGGGTTGACTAGTTTTTAGAATTAAGGGGGAAACCCACAAATGGTACGTTGATTTTTAAATTGTTTTCTAAAGGGGATCAATTAAAAATCAAATTGGCCAATCTGAAATTTTCAAAAATTGGAGATGGACACTAGAGTATTATTTTATTAGGAGGGTGTTTAGTAATAGGAAGAAGGGATTAGATTGTATACTGTATATATATATATGTATATTATATGAGCTACAGCCAAAATTTAGTCTAATGGAGAGTAGTATTCGAGACATCTTTATTTTTTAAATTGAGCTGGGGCTTGGAAAACGATAATGCACTCTTCAAAAAACGATAACATTTGCTTATATATACCAAAACCTGAAAAACGATAATACACTCTTCAAAAGTTGATGACTTACCAAACATTGACCGTGGCCCATATAGTCATGTCATGTCATTTCATGTAATTTCCGATCTGATTTCAGGCCATTGTCTCGGTAGCACACTAAAATGCAGGCTTTCAGTTGAAGATATGATATGCTGGACTTATAATACCATTATATATATAATATAATATGTATGCGTATTTGTTACTGTGGGCAACTACAATATTTGCACGTTCTGTATCTCAAATATCGATTGCAAATCCATAGTGACAGGTACTCAGACTACATCCCGCCTCGCAACATTCTGGGAGGTGCCTCGAAGAGAGGCGTGGAGCCATGTGGAGTCTGGTGAGCCACAAGAAAAACCTATACAGCAATATACAGCATCTCAGAATTGGTTTGTGCACATTTGTGCATTGTGGGAATTGCCTAAGATTGCCAACAAGTACGAACAGTGTTGTGACGTTGAGGGTGTTTTTCCCTTGTCTTGAGCCGCACAGCGCTGCAATCTAGTGCGCAGGTGGCCCTGGTGTGCTCACTGGCGGCGTTCTTTTTGGCTTTGGGGACTGGGTTTCCGTCTAAAAGAACTGGCATGTCAGAACCAGTGTCGCTGGTTTGATGATCAACAAACAGCCCAAGAATGATAAGAATGATCAGGAGCCTGGAGCTTTTCCAGAACACATCCCCGATGACTATGATGCAGCCAGGCTGGCTAATCTGGCGAAAATTGAGGTCAGAGGGCAAACTAGCATCTTTGATGCAGCCACCCGTGGCCACCATGGAAACATTTGGAAACCGCGGGGTCCTACGTTGTTGTTCTTGAAATATGGTCGTTACACGGCTCAACCCAAGTCTGTGGCATTGGCAGGAAGCAACGCAAGAAAGAGCTAGAGGAGCACCACGGTGCCTTGGCAGCCCCTAACACACACTTGCTCAGAACAGTCGTTTCGAATTGGCATGTTGAGATGCATCTGAGGTGCAAAACAACGGCAACAAACAACTGAAAGGATGAAACACAATGATGTATGTGTATATATATACATATATATATACACAATGTATATATATATATATAATTATATATATATATATATTTGAGCCACCGCGAAAACCCAGGCAATACTAAACATGTAAGGGACGGACATTGGAAAGCCATATTAATCCCATTTTTGGATCTTTTTGGGGGTCAAACGGCCTTGGCCTTTTTTTTGGTAATTACGGCTTTGATCGTCTGGAGCCACTTGTGTGAGAGTTGCTACGGCTCTTTACGTTCTTTTTTCAACAAAATGTAGAAACAATCGTTTTTTTTCTACGGGTAGGACTGCAATGTTCATTTGATTTGACCATTTTTTGTCATTCCGGGTAAAAACAATATTTTACAACCCAAAAATCATCATCACGGTTTTTTCCCATGATGACCAGAACATTTTGTGATTTTGGCTTTCCAGGATATTACATTACTGTCTAGTGTTTGGCAGGTTTGGGTGGACAGTGGTCATTTCTTGGTGGTTGGTGAAGTAAGGTAATACAAATGCCAATTTTGGATTAATTTTGGCTCAAGTAAACTTGATCCAAAATAGCAGAATTGTTTTCCTGGCCTTCCCTGAAATCTACGATTTTGACCCTCCTTGTTATAGAGTCCCCGGTGAGGTAATCCTATAACTATAACTTGTATATAGTCTGCGCTGAAGATGGGGTCACACGCACACACACACACACCCACTCACTCACACACTTTGGTAAACTCCTTGAATTTGGAGAGGGTGAAATGAGATGAAATGAAAACCATCATGTCATGTTGTTACGTTAGCATGTCATGTCATGGCATGGCATGTCGGCATGGGTGGTTTTTGGCTTGGCCACCTTGCCATTTCTGACGATGAGAGTTTTGCAGGTACGTTTTCACGACGACATAGATGGGTCTTCGTTGGCCCGTGCCATCTATGCGTCCACGGGCCCCCTGCTTTTACCCTTTGATTCAGGGTTTCCCACACACAGCAAGCCGCTATAGGGCACGATTTCCGAACCAAAAAATGGGCCGTAATCAAGTGTGTTGTTTCCACACACACACACACATCATAACAAATCAAGAGCCCATATGTCGCTCTTGGAGAGGGCGATGGAGGGAGAAATATGTCGCTGTTATGATATGTTACAGTATCTACAGTACATTCTGGCATGATTTGGATGCGCATTTCGATTTGACAATGCTCGGGCTATCTCGCTAGATGAGCTTCCAACAAGGCAAAGTCCAGGAGCAATCCTTCAAGGGCTTGGACTATGGGAATCGCTATTTCCAGACAAATGAGGAGGCATTTGGAGGACTGGCGACTGGCGCGGCAGAGCACTGACGACATGATGCGAATGAATGCGAACACGTCACTGCAATGGCCTGTTACCATTTGTTACCATAAAATCATATAACATCCATATGTTGAGGATATGAGCAGCCGACGCATGTGCCCCGCGATCCGATGCCGGACAAAGCTGCTGCTTGTTCTGGATGGAGGATGAGTACAAACAGCATTGCGTAAGAAGTAACTCTTCAAAGTCAGGGGGTTTGTGTCACTAGCTCTTAGAACAAGGGAGCGGACATTTTCGCAGTCTGACCCAAAGATGAATTCCAAGGGATTCCACCGCTTCCAATTTCCATCAATTTCCAAGGTCAAGTATCCTCATGAGTCGCCATTCCGGCCGCCCAATCCTATGAAGCGAGATGCAGTGGGATGCCTCATGGGTGGGATCCCAGAGCCACTCGCCTGAAGAAAATGGGACATTTATGGCAGCACTATGGCACTGTTGGGTTTTGATCCTGGCAAGGTTGGCTGCTAAGTCCATCCAGCTGGAAACCAAACTTGAAACCAGTTTGAAACGATTCTCGTTGATCTTAACTGCACAGTCAATTCTGAAGAGTCAATTCTTTTCGCTTTCAGCTTCTAGTTCTAGCACCTTCAAGCTCTCTGCTCATGAGAAATCATGATGACCAGGGCATCCTTTCCACAATGATAAGTTTTGGCCCTCGACAAATTTGGCAGTCAGTAGCACGGTGGTCCGTAAGACCACATTTTGTTGCAGACAGAAATGACAGCGTGATTTGACTCGCAAGGTACATCCCATGTCCAGAAGATCCTGTGGTTCGGAAGCCGAAGGCGGGATTTTCAAACTAAGCTAGCCACAGCAGTTTATTAGCTCCACTAGTAGCACTAGAGACATATCAATATCATGTCATATCATATCATATCAATTCATGTCTCACATCTTAGATTGTGCCAAGTCAGATAAACTAAGTCAGGCCGTGTTGGGCCGTCCTGGTCAGGTTGAAGATGCTCCTCCAGTTCCTCGCCTGTGGGTATTGGGTGGTGCTACAGCGACATGATTTGAGTTTTGCACAGCAGAGCTGGGTCACTTGAGACAAGAGCAAGGCAATGCAAGGCATGTTTAGAAGGGGGATCTCCCCCAAAAGTCACCTTATTTAGATTTGTTTATCTTATTTATAATTTGTTCACCTTTAGTGACATGTAATCCTCTCTCCCTATTACTAAAACACGCCCCCACCTCCCCCCCAAATGGTAAACACGGTGATCCCTTCTTATTATTACAGTATTAGGGTGCCCCTAATATTCCAATGAAAACCTTAATAATAAAACTAAAATAAAAAACTTGAACACTGTTTTTCTTCGAAAAAAACATGTATCTGAAAAAAATCTCACAATAGAGGCTCCGCCCCACAAACACCAAGACGCTCAATTAGGAAGCAACAAATTCTCACAATACGGTGCCATCACGCTAATCAGAGGCTAACATTAACTCCTTATTAAAATATATATTTAAAATATTGCCAAAAACTGGATTTCGAAGCTTTCCCCCAATATTCCAATGAACACCTTCATGATAAAGATAAAAAATAGAACTGGTGAGATGGGACCCTAATAAAAAACCATAAAACACCTCCAGGTGGCAATCTATTTTTATAAATAGGGGGTTGAACCCATTGTTTCACCAACCTGTTCTCCTATTGATTCTCAATTACCACGATTAAGAATCCAACTGTGCGCAACCAAAAAAACCGGAAGTGCCACACCAATCCTTTTTTTTATTTGGGGGAGTTTTAGGAATAGGAAGAAGGGATTAAATTCTGCATTCTGCGGGGCATGTTTGGAGTGTTATGACCATTTTCAGTTCGGGTTTTGAGTCTTGAGCTCAACTTCAAGTCATTTTTGCTGTCAATCCATCTTTGCTTACTGCTTGCTTACATGGGACGGATAGAGGAAACAGAAAGAAGAGGTTCATGAGTGCACAAACTTTCACCGGTCCTTTCACTGGATGCTAGTATAGAGCCAGCCGTTCTTGCTGTGTTTTTTCCAACAGTTTTTGGGGTTGCAGACAAGTCATAAGGCCTTCAAGACGGGTGCTCCAAAATATGTGGCCAAGCCAACTCCATCAGCAGCTTGGCCATGATGCGCATGATGGGACTGGGCCTTTTGCAGCAGCCCGATGCTTCATTCTTCATTCTTCGGCGAGGAGGATACTGTATATATATATAATATATATATTATATAGAATATTCACATGAATATTCTATATTAATGAACGTGATGTATGATGATATAGCCTTCAAAACTCAAGACAATGTGTGGCAAAACTATGGTAGTCATTGGGAAATATTGTGGAAATACCCACGCTGCAAGAGTGGACTTGAGGTCACAACACTGGCGCGGAATATGCGCAACGAGAGGCCTTCCAGTTTCATGCGGCCGCCGCTGGGCACTTTCAAACCGCCACAAAAAGCTCCACAGATCCCTATGATGTCACTATTGTAGTCCCTATGCTCGCCAGGGCAGCACTTATGATTGACACGGTATTGATTTATCCTTGGTGTGACTTAAAGAAGGACAGTTGTGGTAAACAAAAAGTTAACCAAATCTCCAGTTCCCTCCCTCAACTTTTAGGTTCAAAACCTTTGTGTTTCTGATGGGTTGTTTTGAATTCTGTTGGTTTATGTTTGTTTGAGAACCTGTTGCCAAACGCTACTGGTGGCCCCTCTGGCTATTTGAGCCTGCCCGAAGCGGGCTGCTTTTTTCCAAGAGGTGTTTGTGACCTGCTCTAGGGGCCAAAAAGCCAAAACAAGTTGGAAACAGGGGTCAAGAACACTTCTGGCGGACAAATTCTTGGAAACTGCCCCGGCCCTCCAATAATTAAGAGATTTGAGAGTGGGACCGCAGGAATGAAGAAAAGACCATAAATAGCATCTTTCCTGCTTAAGCAAATTCAACGGGCATACTGAAATCATTTGAAATCGCTAAAACGTGTTGGCTTTGGTAGTAGTATTGGCCCTATACCTGCCTTTGGCCTACCAACCGCTTAGGCTTATTTAAGGGCTGCCGCCCCTGCCGCCGACCCCGGAAGAATGGTCATGTGGTTATATGACAGTTATATCATATATCAGATGATGGTCTGAGTTTTTTTTGACAATTGGTTGATAGTTTCCAGCCTTTAGCTACTTTAGGGACTCAACTAGCCAGCATCATGTTTTGTCGATCTTGGAGTAGTTTAGATAAAGAGTAAATGTTAATCAGCACAGGCTTCCCAAGTCTCAGTTACAGTTACAATTTGTTAAGGTTGTCTGTGTGTTTTCCGATTCAGTTGATTCTGCTCCACGGCGGTACGACCATTTATAAGCGGCTTCTCGATATTCAGAGTCTCAGCCTGCCAGGGGGCCCAAGGGATCCCATGGTCGGCTGCATTTGCGTCGTTTTGGCAAGGCGAATCTGGCGCGAGCCAGGTGTTTATAGTCCTATGATTGCATATGCTGCTGCCTGCTGCTGCCTGCCTGCAGCTCCTTGCTGCTGCCTGCTGCTGGTGCTGCTGCTGGTGGCTGCTGCTGCTGCTGTGGTGCTGCTGCAATCAAACAGCCTCCAAAGCAAGAAACAAACAGCCAGACACCCTTTTCGAAACACATCCGAAACAGCAAAACACCATCTAATTTCGTGCCCAAAACGTAGCAAAGGAACACCAAAAAAGGGCCTAACGTCACTTCTGAAACCCTACTATATAAAATTGTAACTTTGCCGCTGCCTGCCGCTGCCTGCTGCTGCTTGCTGCTGCCTGCTATTGCCTCTGCTGGTGTCTGCTGCTGCCTGCTGCTGCCTGCTGCTGCCTGCTGCTGCCTGCTGCTGCCTGCTGCTGCCTGCTGCTGCCTGCTGCTGCCTGCTGCTACCTGCTGCTGCCTGCTGCTACCTGCGGCTGCCTGCCTGCTGCTCCCTGCTGCTGCCTGCTGCTGGTGCTGCTGCTGGTGGCTGCTGCTGCTGCTGCTGTGGTGTTGCTGTGGTGCTGCTGCAATCAAACAGCCTCCAAAGCAAGAAACAAACAGCCAGACACCCTTTTCGAAACACATCCGAAACAGCAAAACACCACCTAATTTCGTACCCAAAACGTAGCAAAGGAACCCCAAAAAAGGGCTTAACGTCACTTCTGAAACCCTACTATAAAATTGCAACTTTGCCGCTGCCTGCCGCTGCCTGCTGCTGCTTGCTGCTGCCTGCTGCTGCCTCTGCTGGTGTCTGCTGTGCCGCTGCCTGCTGCTGCCTCTGCTGGTGTCTGCTGCTGCCTGCTGCTGCCTGCTGCTGCCTGGTGCTGCCTGCTGCTACCTGCTGCTGCCTGCTGCTGCCTGCCTGCTGCTCCCTGCTGCTGCCTGCTGCTGGTGCTGCTGCTGGTGGCTGCTGCTGCTGCTGCTGTGGTGCTGCTGCAATCAAACAGCCTCCAAAGCAAGAAACAAACAGCCAGACACCCTTTTGGAAACACATCCGAAACAGCAAAACACCACCTAATTTCGTGCCCAAAACGTAGCAAAGGAACCCCAAAAAAGGGCCTAACGTCACTTCTGAAACCCTACTATAAAATTGCAACTTTGCCGCTGCCTGCCGCTGCCTGCCGCTGCCTGCCGCTGCCTGCTGCTGCCTGCTGCTGCCTCTGCTGGTGTTTGCTGCTGCCTGCTGCTGCCTGCTGCTGCCTGCTGCTGCCTGCGGCTGCCTGCTGCCTGCTGCTGCCTGCTGCTCCCTGTCTTTTTCTCAATCTTTTCCACTTTTTCAATCTCCCACCAGCTCACCTGCTGCTGCTAACAGAAGAGTATCAAAAGCACCTCCCGGCACCAAAACAGCAAGGCACGGAAGGCTCCCTGCTGCTGCCTGCTGCTGGTGCTGCTGCTGGTGGCTGCTGCTGTGGTGCTGCTGTGGTGCTGCTGCAATCAAACAGCTTCCAAAGCAAGAAACAAACAGCCAGCCAGACACCCTTTTCGAAACACATCCGAAACAGCAAAACACCACCTAATTTCGTGCCCAAAACGTAGCAAAGGAACCCCAAAAAAGGGCCTAACATCACTTCTGAAACCCTATACTATAAAATCGCAACTTTGCCGCTTGCCGCTGCTTGGCTGCTGCCTGCTGCTGCCTCTGCTGGTGTCTGCTGCTGCCTGCTGCTGCCTGCTGCTGCCTGCTGCTGCCTGCTGCTGCCTGCTGCTGCCTGCTGCTGCCTGGCTGCTGTCTCTGCTGCTGCCTCTGCTGGTGTCTGCTGGTGTCTGCTGCTGCCTGCTGCTGCCTGCTGCTGCCTGCGGCTCCCTGCTGCCTGCTGCTGCCTGCTGCTCCCTGCTGCTCCCTGCAGCTGCTGGTGGCTGCTGCTGCTGCAGTGGTGCTGCTGTGGTGCTGCTGCAATCAAACAGCCGCCAAAGCAAGAAACAAACAGCCAGACACCCTTTTCGAAACACATCCGGAACAGCAAAACACCACCTAATTTCGTGTCCAAAACGTAGCAAAGGAACCCCAAAAAAGGACCTAATGTCACTTCTGAAACCATACTGTAAAATTGAAACTTTGCCGCTGCCTGCCGCTGCCTGCCGCTGCCTGCTGCTGCCTCTGCTGGTGTCTGCTGCTGCCTGCTGCTGCCTGCTGCTGCCTGCAGCTGCTTGCGGCTGCCTGCGGCTGCCTGCCTGCTGCTCCCTGCTGCTGCCTGCTGCTGGTGCTGCTGCTGGTGGCTGCTGCTGCTGCTGTGGTGCTGCTGTGGTGCTGCTGCAATCAAACAGCCTCCAAAGCAAGAAACAAACAGCCAGACACCCTTTTCGAAACACATCCGAAACAGCAAAACACCACCTAATTTCGTACCCAAAACGTAGCAAAGGAACCCCAAAAAAGGGCCTAACGTCACTTCTGAAACCCTACTTAAAATTGCAACTTTGCCGCTGCCTGCCGCTGCCTGCCGCTGCCTGCGCTGCCTGCTACTGCTCTGCTGGTGTCTGCTGCTGCCTGCTGCTGCCTGCTGCTACCTGCTGCTGCCTGCTGCTGCCTGCCTGCTGCTCCTTGCTGCTGCCTGCTGCTGGTGCTGCTGCTGGTGGCTGCTGCTGCTGCTGTGGTGCTGCTGCAATCAAACAGCCTCCAAAGCAAGAAACAAACAGCCAGACACCCTTTTCGAAACACATCCGAAACAGCAAAACACCACCTAATTTCGTGCCCAAAACGTAGCAAAGGAACCCCAAAAAAGGCGCCTAACGTCACTTCTGAAACCCTACTATAAAATTGCAACTTTGCCGCTGCCTGCCTCTGCTGGTGTCTGCTGTGCCGCTGCCTGCTGCTGCCTCTGCTGGTGTCTGCTGCTGCCTGCTGCTGCCTGCTGCTGCCTCTGCTGGTGTCTGCTGCTGCCTGCTGCTGCCTGCTGCTGCGTGCTGCTGCTGGTGGCTGCTGCTGCTGCTGCTGTGGTGCTGCTGTGGTGCTGCTGCAATCAAACAGCCTCCAAAGCAAGAAGCAAACAGCCAGACACCCTTTTCGAAACACATCCGAAACAGCAAAACACCACCTAATTTCGTACCCAAAACGTAGCAAAGGAACCCCAAAAAAGGGCCTAACGTCACTTCTGAAACCCTACTTAAAATTGCAACTTTGCCGCTGCCTGCCGCTGCCTGCCGCTGCCTGCTACTGCCTCTGCTGGTGTCTGCTGGTGCCTGCTGCTGCCTGCTGCTACCTGCTGCTGCCTGCTGCTGCCTGCCTGCTGCTCCCTGCTGCTGCCTGCTGCTGGTGCT